ATCGGCTGTAATGGCGGCCCACACCATCACAATGGCCGGCGCTTGAGTTCTAGTGGCCAACAGAATGTGCACATTTTCAGCTGACCTCTTTGGCAAGTAAACACGATCATTTTGCTTGTTTGCAAACTGCTGGACAACGAATGTTTTGTTATCGGAGAAATCCAAATTCGGCAGTTCACCACTTTTGGCCAAGCGAAACAACTCTTTAGGTCTTTGGAGTCTATTTTCTTTCTGTTGCAGTTTAAGTTCTTGCAATTTTTGGAATTTCAATGGCTTTACCCCGAGTTAATTTTTCAATATTTGCCGAATGAAAAATTGCGATATGTTCAGCCATTTTTTGGCCACTGCGACGCGGGTTTCGATCAAGACGCTTCTTTACTTTTCGAACCATTTCTGCTGATGTTGCCTTTTTTCTTCCGTCCACTTGCTGGACGTCGGGTTACGCTACCAGTATCACGGTAACGAGCGATGGTACGAGACACAAAATATTTATTTACATTTAATTCTGGAGTGCTCTAACGATAGCCATTTGCGGTTTTTCCAGCCAAATATAAAGAAGTCACACTATCACGCTTGAATTCCATCCCGAATAACTTTTTTTCTGGATAATTCTCACTTTTGTACGCTTGTAAACAATATAATGAGCTGTCATTGGAATAATTTTAACAGTTGTCGGGCGAGTGGCTTAGAAATGACAGCAGTCTGAAGTTGGTTGCAGTTTTTTCATCTCACCCCATACATCAATCACTTATCGTATTTTATTGTATTTGTATTCGATTACCTTCGTCGAGTCTCGAAACCCATTCGGTTATAGGCACACACTACGTGCAGACCTTACCCAATATTTGGTAAGGAGAAAAATAAAATTCTTTGCTTTATTTTTAAGAAGTAACCCATTATTCCCATTATTATCTACCAGTAATGCAGAAGGTTGTTTGTTTACATCCAGTACCAGTAATACAGAAGGTTGTTTGTTTACATCACCTTTTAATAAGTTATTCGTCTAATACCGCCTGAATTTTTATTGGGCAGTATAGGGAGTATAGGGAAATTTTATAGGGAGCACATTCAATTGCACTCTACTGTCGTTTCCTGGAGAGGAGGCTATTGTTGTTGTTGTTCATGTGAAAAACATCCAAACATTGCAGGTCATCATCATTATGTCGACTGAATGAATTGCGTGCGTCGTTACATAGATGGGAGATGGGAACAGTCAACATGATGACTCGCGATTTGCCCTAGCCTGTTGTGGATTGAACGCGACACATGGCATAAAATGAACATTAGACCAAATAAAGGAGCAAACAGCCAGCCAAACAAACAGCATTGAATGTGAAAAAAGCGCCGCAGAAAAAACGATAATGTCTAAGGTAATCATCATTAAATATAAGAATGACTGAAGCAAAACAAAAAGAGCGGGAAATGTTAAGTCATTTGTGAGTGTGCTATATTATTCTATAGTTGCGAACAAACGTCGTCTGTGTGTGATTAGGTTGTATGTATGGCCGGTATCCAGTGTAGCTTGGGAAGTGGTACTGCTGCTATTTTCTGTACTAACCATCCATCCACCCAGCTAACCACCGTCATTCCGATTCCCAATATCTGTGGTGATGATTGCTCTTGCTGCTCCTGTTGTTTCTTACATCGTTGTTGCTATTATTATTCATGTCGTTGATGATGATGATTCTTTGGCATTGCTGGTTAATGTTCCTGGTGATGCTGATGATGCTCCCAAAAAAAGACAGCTACAACGTCATTGCTATGATAATATTAATTCGACAAAATAGTTTTTTGTTTGTCATTTTCAACGTCAATGGTTTTCTGTGAAATTTATTCGGAAATTTCTTAGGACACTCATCGCATTTTCACAAATGAAACCTACACATGGACATAAATCGATGTACTTACGTAGTTTTTAAATAATGTTGTTTAATCGTTATTATATGATTATGTATTATTTTCTGGATAAGGATGAATTTATGAAAGCTTGTTTCATAGGAATTGAAACTACATACCTATACCTACATTAAGTATACATAATGTATTTGGTTATGAATAGTTCCAGATCCCACCAAATAGCAGCATTTATATGCAATCTTTAACTGTTAAGTCATATTTCGAAATAGTATTCTAATTTTGGCGAAAAGTTGATAAATGTTAGGCCTTCAGCAAACTAATAATTGGAGGGACTTTTATATGTGGACTATTATGATTTAACCCTAGAAATGTTTGCAACTCATTCGATTTGAATTGTGACTAGAACACCGTTATATGTTCGGCGTTCTTTTTTCCCTTTTATCATAGGATCTACAGGTTGAGATGAAAAAACTGCAACCAACTTCAGACTGCTAAGCTGTTAAAATTATTCCAGTTACAGCTCACTATATTGTTTACAAGCTATTCGTGATGGAATTCAAGCGTGATGGTGTGATTTTTTATATTTGGCTGAACAACTTTCGTTTGAGCTCTCCAACATTTAAATGTGAATAAATCTTTTGTGTCTCGTACAATCGCTCGTTACCGTGATACTTGTAGCGTAACCCGACGTCAAGGAAGTGGACGGAAGAAAACAGCAAAATCAGCAGAAATGGTTCAAAAGTAAAGATGCGACTTGATCGAAACCCGCGTCACAGCGGCCGAAAAATGGCTCGTGAGCTGAACATATCGCATTATTCCATTCCAATAAGGGCAAGAACTTACTCCGCAATAGAAAGAAACTAGACTCAAAAGACCTAAAGAGTTGTTTCGCTTGGCCAAAAGTGGTGAACTGCCGAATTTGGTTTACTCCGATGAGAAAACATTCGTTATCCAGCAGTTTGTAAACAAACAAAATGATCGTGTTTATTTGCCAAAGAAGTCACCTGACAATGTGCACCTTCTGTTGGCCACCAGAACTCAAGCGCCGGTCATGGTGATGGTGTAGGCCGCCATAACAGCCGATGGTCGCTCGTGTTAATCGGCATCAGAATAAACGCCGAATATTATCGCGAAAATATTCTGGAGGGTGTATTAAACCCTTGGACACGCAAACATTTTGGCCGAAGACCTTGGGCATTCCAACAAGGTACTTTGGTACTTTTTAGAAAGCAAGTTTGGCACTAAAAAGTACCAAAGTGTCGATCACCTCAAGCAAGCGCTTCACCGGGAATGAGCCAAAATACCGCAGAGCAACTTTCGGGCAGCGTGTGGCGGTTTCATTGGCCATTGAAGGCCATAATTCGTGCCAAAGGTGACCAATTCGAACAAATCTAAACTTATTCTAAAATTTTATGCAATTTCCAACATTTTTTGCTTTCATTCAATACAATTTAAAAAAAAGCTTGAGCTCAAGCTTAAGACTTATGTTCATAAGTTTATTGTAATAATATTCTCAACCAATTTTGGTATGTTGGGGAACTTTCACGGAAAACCCCAAGTCATTATTGTGCCGAAAGCACTCCAGCAAAAACTTCCATTACCATATGATGAGTATACCAAGTGATTTTAGACAATCTGACCACTTACAAATTAACCCACTAACCCATTACTTATACAAGGGCATGTCGATCGAAATAAGTAGTTATCCTTTGGTGTATAAATAAGTAGAGAATTTTTTTTTTGGACAAATGTACCGTTGTACAAAAATTGCGTGCCTAAGGCTTTAATACACCCTCCAGAACATTTTCGCGATAATATTCGGCATTTATTCTGATGCCACCGTCGATAAATACGTGCGGAGAGCGACCATCGGCTGTTATGGCGGCCCACACCATCATCATGGCCGGCGCTTGAGTTCTGGTGGCCAACCGAAAGTGCAAATTTTCAGTTGACCTCTTTGGCAAGTAAACACGATCATTTTGTTTGTTTACAAACTGCTGGACAACGAATGTTTTCCCATCGAAGAAAACCAAATTCGGCAGTTCACCACTTTCGGCCAAGCGAAACAACTTTTTAGCCCTTTTGAGTATATTTTCCTTCTGTTGCTGTGAAAGTTGTTGCAATTTTTGGAATTTCAGTGGCTTTACCCCGAGCTCATATTTCAATATTTGCCGAATGGGATATTGCGATATGTTCAGCTCACGAGCCATTTTCGGCCACTGTGACGCGGGTTTCGGGGTTTCGATCAAGTCGCTTCTTTACTTTTCGAACCATTTCTGCTCATGTTGATGTTTTCTTCCGTCCACTTCCTTGACGTCGGGCTACGCTACCAGTATCACGGTAACATGCGATGGTACGAGACACAAAAGATTTATTCACATTTAAATGCTGGAGTGCTCTAACGATAGCCATTTGTAGTTTTCCAGCCAAATATAAAGAAATCACACTATCGCGCTTGAATTACATCACGAATGACTTTTTTCTGGAAAATTCGCATCAAAATGCTTTTGTACGCTTGTAAACAATATAATGAGCTGTCACTGGAATAATTTTAACAGTTGTCGGACGAGTGGCTTAGAAATGACAGCAGTCTGAAGTTGGTTACAGTTTTTTCGTCTCACCCTGTATAGTGACAGTAAAAAATCAGATCAGGTCACTTTAACGGTCAAATTATAATTTTAATTTTCTCTGTCCTACTATCCATATTGTCCTCGCGATCTATTGCTTTGTGTTATAATTTGTTTTTACAGTATATAGATGACAGACATTGAACAATAAAATATTATGAAAAATTTGTATATCATATGTTAACATGATATTACCTTCCATAATTTTGCCGTGGTATGCGGGAAAAGAAAATAAAATAGTTGGGGTTACAAGCAACAAGTCGGACAGTCAAAATCCCAAATAATAAACACAAAGTGTCTTTGTTAATGACTAAGATTCATTCATGAGGTGAACAATTAATTATAAAAAAAACCGTAAAGTAATTGAATTTGGGGGGGGGGGGGGGGGGCAATCGGACAGTCAAATCCGCAAATAAAAAACACAAAGAGCCTTTGTTAATGAATAAGATTCATTTATGAGGTGAAAAACTAACTATAAATAAAAACTAAAACCTTAAACTAATTGTATCTGTCAACTTTTATAGTTTGTAATTAATACTACTTTATTTTTCTTTTCATTTTCATTTAAATCTTTAATCTATGATTAAACTAAAACTAGTATTTAAATCTACATCTTATTTCCATATCGATTTTAATTGGTACTTAGCGAGAATGGTGAACCGGGTATATGGTCATCGCCCCACTTTGCAGCCAACAGATAATCACCAGGATCATCGACTTGATAGGTAACTTTGTAAACATTTTTGCCCATATGTTTGACAATAACTTCGTCACATTGTCCTTTAGGGCCGAAAATACCCACAAACAGGATATTATTTCCCGCCGACGAACCGTCAATAATGAATTCATTTTTTTCATTCAAAAGAATATGACTTAAGCCAAGACCACGATATGTTACTCTTGAAGCATCCGATTTGAATACAGGCACTGGAATAAATAATACAAACAAAATTTAGTAAAAAAAGATAATGGTAGAACAATTGGAAAGCCGGTTACTTATTTATTTATTTTATTATCTTTTTTAATTAAAATAAATGAATATATGCAGAATTACTGGATAGAAATACTTTTAATCAGGAACAGTTCCAAGGAAATTTTAATATCGACGTATTTTTATAGTAAGTTTACATTGGAGTTATGAAGATTTTTGTGACATCAAATAAAACATTTTAAAATTAATAGATTCTAGCAGGTTCTGGAACAGAGGAAAAGTTGAAATCCCAAATAGAAAGCAGTTCAACAAATTATTGATTAAATGAACGAAGACATTTCAAAACCTAATACAATCTAAAACAAGTAAAAAACATTAAGTTCGGCCGGGCCGAACTTTCAATACCCTCCAACTTGGGGTAAAGGAAACATTTTTACATAAAAGTATTTGAATTCGAGCGTGTTTCACTTTAATGCAGTTAAATTTATCAAAAAAAAAAAACATAAAGTGAGTGAGGTCGTAAACGAACCATACCAAAAAGGGAACTTCAAGGGTACTTCAAGGATTGTCATCTATCAAATCTTCTAAAATACCAAATTTGAAAGAATTACGTGGGTAAATGTGACTAGAATTATCAAAAAAAAAAGCGAATATCGGTGGGTATAGTTATATGTGCGCTTTAGGAAAACGTGGAAATAAATATTCAATATTCTGCCACCGGATTAGAACCCATTACGAACTGCAAATACCAATTGTAATCAAAACATCGAATATCGGGAGGCATCGTTATAGGGGGCTATACCAAAACGTGGACCTATACATACAATGTTTCGCCACTGGGCTAGAACCTATTATGAATTGCAAATACCAATTTTTAGATAAATCCGTGGAAAAATGTGACAAAAATCATCAAAATACCGAATATCAGGACGCACCGTTATATGGCGGCTAGACCAAAACGTGGACCGATATATCCCATGTTTAATACCAACCATCCTAGACAGAATACAAATTGATCTGCCAAATTTTTTGATTTCAACAGACAGAGGGACATCGTTAAATCGTCTTAGTATTATATGCTGATTATGAATATATATACTTTATGGGGTCTACGATGAATATTTAGGGATGTTACAAACGGAATGACAAAGTTAATATACCCTCCTTTCCAAGGTGGAGGATATAATGAGGTACCTAAAGCACAAAGTGTAAGCTAAGGATTAATTGAAAATACAGAATAGAAAAATACTTCTAAGAAATCTCTGAACCATCGCTCCACTTCCACGGAAGCGGCGAAAAGAACAGGAAGTGTGACACACTGGAAGCCCCCCGTTGAAATTCTAAGGAAAATATGCCGTAAAACGAGCTCAAATATGTAAAAGGTGATCCCAATCGTCGAAATATCTGCAAAGCCTGTGAATTGTGGTAAAGAGGAATGGAAATTAGGTGCAATAGAAATTATTTAGATACACATTTGATTAATCCAGGAACCCTCAACTGTTCAGATTAAGGCTAACACGAAAATGTTTATGCTATTACAAGGACTTGACCGAAAAACTATATGAGACGAAAATCGTATGTTTTTTCTTCACTGAGTAATCAATTCTGGACCTAAATGCACTGATACAGAGAAAAGGCTTATTTCCCGTTTCACTTACCGACCACCTACCACCCATGTCGCAACTGCAGCGGAGAGGAAGGGAATTAAGCAAACGGTTGCCTATATCAACAAAGGTAAGGAGGAAGTATTTATGATGGTTATTAACGGCTAGGACAAGGTCTCGAGAGTCTTCCTGGTTAGTAATGTTAATTTACATTAACTACGCCCTACTGGAAGACTTGCAAACTAGTGGCGGTACCGACTACCGAAATTAAATGCAGACTTGCAGTGACAGACAGTGACAGTAAGAGTAATCGTAGACCGTACTAAAGCCGAATAACTAAACTGCGATCGTCGATATAATGCGTTCCAGATCAACAATATTTGCTAGCCGAACACCGATATACTAAGTCTCCAATTGCCTATCGACGTTCGTTAAAGTTTCCGATTATATTCAGATCGTCTACAAACCAAACATCATCGTGATCCCCGATGACCAATCGCCAGAGTGCCCGATTATCTCCGGATCGTCTACAGCTCGAACATCATCATCGTGATTCCCGGATTCCCATTCGCCTGAGTTCCCAATTATCTTCAGATCGTCTACAACCCGAACATCATCATCGGGATCCTCGATTGCTCAGAAATCGTCAACATCGTAATTCCCAATCAGTCACAACTCGCCTACATCTGACGACCACCAACCAGATCCCGATTATCCTTAAATCGTATTTAATCCGAATACTTATACTTCGTCTACAATTCAGGTATCAACATCGTGATACTCGAGTATCCACAAATCGTCAACAACCCCACATCCCTACCTCATATCTACAAATCGTTAAGAAATTAAATCTCAACACTAGTATTCCCAATCGTCGTAAACATCATATTCCCGATCATCAGTTGCTATATATTGTATTTCCGAGTATCTCTGGACTCAATTCGCCAGCATATCTATTAAATCCAAATTATCGCATTTAAACACGAGCATTTAAATTAATGTCAAAGGGAGAATTCTACTCTTTTCATTTCATAAGTTTTAGTAAGCCATTATGGAAACCCCTCTTGAAGGGAGTATCCGATTTGGTTCAAACTTAATGCATCGTAATACTTTGAACAAATTTAGATCGATATCAGAGATGCAAAATACCGGTTCAATCCTGTTGTAACCTTCCGAAAAAGTCAAACTCTTTCAAAAAAAAAAAATACAAACTTCATATTGAACGAAGATAAAGATCTCGGAAGTGTTCAGCACTCCTATGGCAACTGCTCTCCATTTTGTATTACTTACATTCCATTTTTGCTTTCGGTTCCAAGTCAAATCCACTTATTGCCACAATTATAAATGGTGATTTTGGTAATGTCACTGAATTACATTTAATATGAACTTTATAGAGACCAGCCTCGACCAGAGTAAACGAGACTTCAAATCTTTCTGGATCAATGATTTTTAGTGGTACAAACATTTGATGGCCCGATGGATTTTCCAGCTGTCAAATATTGACGGAAAAAAAATCCTAAATATCATCAGTATAATATTTTTTATTGATCACAAACCTTTACTTCAAAATTTCCTTTTACTCCGTTCCTTTTAATTATGAAATTAACATTATTATTGACCCGTAGAGCTCCGTTGGGGAAATGTAGTAGTTGGACAAGACTTGGATCTGTCAGCTCTGGTGCAACAAATACTTGTGCTGGCTGTGTTGAATATTTATCTGTATTATAAAAAATATTAAAAATTATTATTTAATATATATTTTTATGAGTTATTAGTTGCATGAAATAAAATCAAATCTACAACATTTCGGATATTTTCTGTAAAACAGAGACCGAAACAAAATAGTCGCTGAGACTAATTATGCATTTTTAAAAGATTAATTATGCAGTTTTGTAAAATGAGATCGGAATAAGAAAGAGCGTCCCCACCACCACTTATTGTGTCATTTCTGGGGTAATGACGTTCGTAAACTCTAGATGGAACGAGAACGAAAATGGGCGGGTAACTTTACTAACGACGATTATAGGTTTGGCCTGCATGAGTCTCTCAATGCATTTTTGTATATGAGAAACCTTCTTCTTAAAGTAGAATGCAGTTGTGGAGCTCTAGCCGAGGACTGGCTGCGTGTTCTGTATTCGAGTGCTCTGTACGGGATCACAGGAACCTGTACTTCATGGGTACAGGAGCATACAGGGTGAGATAAAAAAACTGAAGCAAATTCAGACTGCTGCCATTTCTAAGCCACTCGCCCGACAGCTGTTCAGTGGCTGCCCATTATATTGTTTACAAGCTTACAAAAGCATTTTGGAGTTTTTTTTTCAGAACAAAAGTTATTCGTGATGAAATTCAAGCGTGATAGTGGGAAATGTAAATAAATCTTTTGTGTCTCGTATCATCGCTCGTTACCGTAATACTGGTAGCGTATCCCGACGTCAAGAAAGTAGATGGAAGAAAACAGCAACATCCGCAGAAATGGTTCGAAAAGTAAAGAAGCGACTTATCGCAGTGGCCGAAAAATGGTTTGTGAGATGAACATATTGCAATATTCCATTCAGCAAATATTGAAAAATGAGCTCGGGGTAAAGCCATTGAAATTCCAAAAAGTGTTAGAACTTACACCGCAACAAACAAAATGATCGTGTTTACTTGCCAAAGAGGTCAGCTGAAAATGTGCACCTTCGGTTGGACAGCAGAACTCAAGCGCCGGTGTGGGCGGCGATCTCCGCTTGTATTAATCGACAATGGCATCAGAATAAATGCCGGATATCATCGCCAAAATATTCTGGAGGGTGTATTAAAGCCTTGGGCACGCAAACATTTTCGCCGCAGACCTTGGACATTCCATCCGGACTCAGCACCATCGCACTCAGCACGCGCCACCCAAAAATGGTTACAAAATGAGGTTCCTCGCTTCATTTCCAGCGCACAATGGCCACCAAAATCTCCGAATACCAATCTGTTATACTATTGTGCCTGGAATATTTTGGAAAGCAAGGTTGGCACTAAAAAATACCAAAGTGTCAAAGTACCTCAAGCAAGCGCTTCGCCGGAAATTGGGAGCGTGTGACGGTTTCATTGGCCCTTTGAAGGCCATAATTCGTGGTCAATTCGAACAAATCTAAACTTATTCTAAAATGTATGCTATTTCCGACATTTTTTGCTTTCATTCAATAACATTTTAAAAAAATGTAATATTCGACTTTGTTGCAGTTTTTTTATCTCACGCAGTAGGTGATACTGATGGCCAATGGGATGTGAGTCGTGTACGGGCGGTACAGGCATAGGCGCGTATGTTTGCCACGGGGGGTTACCAGTCCCCTGGTAGCATAGGACCAAAACTAGAAGTAACTCGGTTACGAGATCTGACCAGATGTCTTTTACTGATACTGCAGGTGGTGGGGAGTCCCAGGGAATCTCAACTCTCTGCCTCATCATCACAAATCGTCACAATCTTTGTAGGGGGCACTTTCAAACTAAATAGGTTTGACGTTCGCCAGCGTCAGATCGGAAGAGATGAAATGGTGCCTCTCTCCTCGCAGTGAGAAAGCTACGTCCATGTAAACACAGTGATTAGACTGCTCCACTAGTGTGGCACTTTTGTGTTGCACTCATCCTTTTCCCTGATCGTCCCTTTCTCATTTTGGGTAACCAGTCCCGCTTTGTATGTAAAAAACTGGTAGCAGTTTCGACTACGAAGTCTGACCGAAAGATATTCAGGTGGCGAGGAAGTCAGGACCCGAGGGGGTGGTGGTTTATACCCAAATCGCACGTAGAGCTTTGGCTCGATGTGGAGTTGCATTCCCAACAAATAGAGCAGAAGAGGTTTAGGATAGTCCTCAACTCAAGAGGGAAGTGAAATCCATAAAACTGATCTTCGACTTGGTACATGCGGAATAGATTTAGAATTCTGTGAAGGGCTATCATTCTCTTTGAAAAACGATTGTTTGCATCGTATCGCGATACCAATACAATGGTGCATGGTGGTTGAAGCCGACAAGGCGAGAGTTATGTAAAATCCTCTCGACTTCTTGTGACTACGATGACATGGGCACCAAGGGGATCCGCGGAATCAAAGAGGACTGAAAGGCGAGTGATAACAAGGAGTTAAAAAAGGAGCCCAATGACTTCCTCTTCATACAGTACTTTGAGAGGGAAGTGAGTTCGTGAGTTGGTTATCGCTAAAGTAGATTATCCGAAAAAAGGTATTTTAGATGTGGGTAGCCACACCTTCGCTGAATTTGACACGTATCCTTTTCGGTAAGCAGATTGGTGGCGTTTCAACAACGTTACGCCTGATGCTTAAGGTCAGAACTATCTGCAGCCTCGTAGAGAATGCTCTGTTGCTACGTTGTGGACTTTTAATAACCCTAATTGTATTTACACACGTCGTATTTCTTCACGGTGAAATAAAAGCAAAAATACTACTCGGTGCATAAATTGTTGAATTATACTTAGTTCTTTTGTTTTATCAACATTTTATATTAAGAAGTATTTTTATAACAAGTGTCTTCTCATTACATGTTCTGACCCTTTTTGGAGAGGATAAATGAATGAGCATGAAATTGAAGAATTCTTGATTGACATTGATGATGAAGTAAGTGATGACGTTGATCTTAATCTTCTTATTAAGGATGAAGAACGTTCATTTTAAGAGCAATATTCAGTGATATAGGAGCAATCAGTTCATTCACTACTAATAATGGCACTGACTTTTTTGTTTTTTTTTTTGATACAGATCGAAAATAATGTACTGTGCTTCCTTCGAAAACTCTAAGCCGTGCAGGAGGCACACAAAACATGGAGTGACTTCTTGTGTTATTTATTGGATTGCGAATATTCTTGATCCGTTGTATGTATGTTGTATCACTACAGTAAAGAAATCTTTGTTTCGAAAATGTTGAAGAAATAAGTGGAGTTGATCAATAGTACTCTCTACAATATTTTTTGGTTAATGAGATTGCATAACAGATATATTACTCTTATAAAAGTGTATTGGTAAAAGTCTTAACTCGTTTTGGGACGACTTTTATTAATTCCCCTCCTTTTGGAGCAATCATGTCTTTGAATGGATAAAAACAAAAAGAAAATAAACTTACCCCTTTCCCATAATTTTATGAGCAATGGACTAAAAACTTCTAGCTCTTTACTTTCTAAACATTAACGTAATGTTTGACGAAAAACATATTCCTTTGCGATGTAGATGCCTATTCCAAGTAATCCTGGGAAAAATGGTATGAAAGTCTATAGCAGCTGATTCTGATGCTGCGAAAGGAATCGAGGCGATCGCGTGCTTCTAGGGTTAGTAGAAGTAATGTAGCTACAGACAATTTTTTTACAAGTCATAATAAAACTGCTAAAACTGAAAATTGATGCTGCTGAAAGAGAAAATAATCGCTTTTTACCCGACCATACTACAGCCTAACAACTGCGTGAGCTTCATGTTCACTATAGTAAATTATTATACCCTCCACCATAGTATGGAGGGTATATTATGTCATTCCCTTTGTAACAACTCGAAATATACATTTTAGACCCCACAAATTATATATATATATATATATATATATATATATATATATATATATATATATATATATATATATATATATATATATATATATATATATATATATATATATATATATATATATTCTTCATCAGCATAAAATTCAATGTCGATTTAGCGATGTCCGTTCGTCTATCAGTCTGTGGTAATCACTCTAGCTACCGAACGAAACGTTTTAGGTTGATAAAATTTTACTCAAATGTATATTATGTCTGCAGGACTTTTGGTGTAGAAAATGGGCCATGCAGGTTCACGTTTTCCAAATAACGGTACCTCCCCATATTCGGTATTTCGGAATTGTTTATGACAGAAAATTGTCTGTGCAGGTTCACGTTTTGGAATATCCCCATATAACAATACCTCCCTATATTCGGTATTTTGATGATACAGATCCACGTCGTCGTATAGACCCTAATATAACGGCTACATTCGGTATTTTTAAGATTTTAACAGAATTTTTAAGGGATTTTTTTTTGAAAATTGACAAATTCGACCGTCCGGCTTTTTTATTTGTTTTTTTTTTTTTTCATGATAGTCTCTTTTTTGTAATTTCCTAAGAAAAAAATCCTAAAGGCAAAAATTATGAAAATAACTCAAAAAGTATTCTGGGAATAGTTGAATACTACAAATTGACAAAAGGATGATCTTAAATCTACTTCAGCTCATCATCATGTTATTATGTTTCACTAAGTTTGCCGACGCCGAGTATCGAACTTCGTATCGAGACTACTCAATACTTAGTAATGAGTAATATATAGTTATATTTTCAACATAAACAACAACATAAACAAGTAAAAAACAAGGGTTAAGCCGGGACGAACTTTGAATGGCCTCAACCATTTGGAACGTTATATGGAAGCTATACGATATCGTGGACCGATATAGCCCATACATATGGGCTATATGTTGGAGAGTATAAAAAGCGGATTTAACCCTCTTCCTGAATTTTGCTCTACTGACCTGAACTTAACATACAAATTTCCGAGGTTGGGTTAAGCCGAAAACTTATTTCTAAATCCAACGTCATTAGTAATATGGAACCAATGTATAAAGAAACACACTTTCTAAAAAAAATAAAGCGGTAGTGGACATGTCTGTCTTTGTCTAAAACTTCAATTCAAAGATCAAAAAAAATTCATTTCTTGGAATGGATTTTCATTCGGCTCTATAATTTTATATATTTTTTTCTCTCCACACTTACCCATATCTGGTGTTTTATGGTATTTCCCGAAACCCGAAACATTTTCACCACTATTACGGAGTTTTGTTCCCGTCGTATTCAAACGAATTTCTTGTGAAGTCTTGAACATTGTTATCCTTTCTATATCTTACTTTAATTCAATAAATTTTCTTTTCAAATAATCAATATTTATTTAACCAGTCATGTGGTGCTTATGTATTCAATCTATACACTTATATATTTATACAATTTAAATTTTCACATTCAACACACGCGACAAAGTATCATTTGTTTTAAATAAGTTTTCCATATGAGTTTGAGCAACGAACTAAATTGAAAATTTGTTCATAACAAAAACACACAACATATTTTTCATCCATATGCTTTGAATTATAAGAGCTTTCATTTTTATCGTAACATTTAAGACACATCTGAGTGGTCGGACTGTTTGAGATACATAAACAAGCGTATTGTTTTTTTTTTCCTTCGCTGAGAATATGTTTGTAAATTGAACAGAAAAAGAACAGAGATGAATATGATTAAGTTTGAACTGTACAGAGTGCACATTCATTTTAAAAATATGATGAGAATATTCCGTTGTTCCGAAAAGTGTATTTTGCTACGTGTCTCTAGTGAGCTCTTCAAATTTCAATAGATAAAATTGAAGTGCAGTCTATTTCAATTTTATCCATTCATATCTCAATGCAATACATTTAAAAGGGATTAAATTCATACACGTTTTAAATGTTTCAGATGTGGGGTTGTGTAGTTTCCTTGTTTCCTGTTTAACTCGACTTTTAATAATAACTCATTTGTGTTTAGACACTTTATATTGAATGACACTTTGGTAATAATTAAACCACTAGGTATAAACTAGTTCCATTTACAAACAAGATTCATGTGTGTATTTATTTGGCGTTGGCGTTGGCTGAGCGATGCACCATATGCGTTGTTTTTTGGTTTGTCAATTAACGATGCAATATTTGAGAATTTGAATACTTTTGTTTAAACAATTTTGCATACTTATGAAATGGTTACAGATGTACACATGAATAAAAAAAATTAATTAAATATTTTAAAGAATTGAAATGTTACGAAGGTTTGTCGTTCTCTTTCGAACTGTTGCAGCAAACAGATGATTTTTATATGATCATCGATACAACAAACATTGAGTATTACTCATCCATATTTTGTTATTTTTTGACAACAAATGGGCAACATGCCAGAAGCCAATATTGCCCCCCATATGAACATGTATAAAAACTCACACTTGAGATGCGTACAAGAGATGAGGAACAACAAATGTTTGTACGCCTGTTGTTGAAAATATTCTCTCCAGAGTCTAGACAAAACATCTGCTTTTGGGTGGGTGTATGTTGCTTTTATGGATTATTTTTCTCCGCTAGTTTGGAGTACGCAGATTAGTGTTAAAAGCAAACGGATATCTAATTGATGTTTGCTCAAATATGTATATATATAATAAATTATAAAAATCGGTAAAATATTTATAACAACAAACAGAAGTGACCCTATTAAACTGACTAGTGACACAACCTTTTTACAAAACCATGTGCAATTTTAGATTTTCTTTATGTGACAATGCATATTTAAAAAAAAAAACTCTTCACATATTAAGTTTAATGGATCAAATACAACTGAATCGGTTTCAAAAGAAACACACAACATTCCACAACACTACCAAATGTAAAAGAGGATGGGCAACAGCCTCAGTTTCTCCTCTCCTTCTCAGTCTCAACAATGTGTTCAAGTTTCGAGAAAACTCATAGCTATTCTAAAGAGATGAGTGAAAACCATTAAAAATATAATTTAACAACAGACGAAACTTATCGCATAATGTTTGGGATGTGCCGCAAGTCATTCAGTGTCAATGACAGTGCAGCGATCTATCTACATGCAATTGAGGATAACATTAGAATATTTGGTTTCTCTGTTTCTTGTTTTTTTTTTTTTGTCAGAGCTTTGTTAATTTTTGTTTTCAATTTATTTGTAATGTATATGGTAACTTAATATTTCTAAATGCCTAATTTATATATTTTCAGATATCATTTTACACCAAAACAAAAAAACGCGCACAGACATAAGATATATGCAGTTTATATATAAAAAATTATAATTTCGCAGGAATATGTTTATATTAAATTGAATGTTTTAGTTTTTTTTTTTTTTTTTTTTTTGATGTTCCGTCGTTTCTTCAATCGACATAAACATGAAGACGAATTACATTCGATAATCGGAATAACAGCGCATTGTAATCAGTAATAATAATGCTTATATAATAGTGCACTTTGTAATGTCGATCTTTTATCTTCAATAGAAAATACTACTTAATTATTTGCATATTTTTCGATCCATTCATTCTCTCATTTATCAAAATATTGTATATGTTAATTGTGAAAAACTTCCTGGGGAATGAATTTGGTCGGGATACTTTTATCCTATAGCAGCTGTTACCAACTCTGCCACCTCTGGGTAAGTAGTACGTACAGTTAATTGCATGGTAACTCCGTCAGCTAAGGCCAGTTTAGCCCGTACCAGGATTTCAGCACCTCCTCTAAATGTACCTGTAGACACATAAAAACATGATTATTTACTCTTTTATAATATCATTGAAGAGCTTACCAGAACAAAGTAGTGTGTGTGTTGCAACGCCTTCTGGCACTTTTTCAGAGAGATTGGCGGGTCCTAAACCTAGGAATTTTATTATGGTATTAACTGCTTCTTGCAGTGTGCTAACAGCTGACAAAGAATATGTGTCTTCAGCTTCTACCCATTCTACAAAATTAAAACAAATTTAATTACTATGTACCTTAAATATCCGGACAAAACTTACCTTCAGTATCGGCTGCATCCCACACGGCTTGGAAGTTACTCTTTTTGGTCTTTTGTATTTGATCAGCCAGTGTGATTTCCATATCTTCAAGCATGTATTCGTCATCATAGCCATCTTCCGAATCTGGTTCCCCAGTATTAGGATCACAATCTTTGACGACAAATCTCAAAGTAGCTCCAAATGTAGCTGTACAAAGTCGCAAGTAAATTAAACATGGAAAAGACAATTTGTAGCCTCTAAATCTTACCTGTAGAACTACCAACATCTTGGGGGAATTCAACAATAACAAATGTGGTTTGCAATTCGTTGTACGGGAGTTTGGGACAGGGTATTACCGCACGAGTTATAAAACCATCCGGTATTGTTAATTCTACACGTACATTTTCCAAAAATTGGTCTGCCAAAGTATTGAGACAATCGAACTAACAAAAAAAAAAAACTTTTATATTACCTAGTCTACTAAAAGGGGGACAACCATTACCTGGAACACAACATGATTGGGGAAAATATGTTTGATGCATGAAACCGTATATTCTGTTTCGCTCTCGGTAAGTTGTATAGCTGGTGCAGTTCGATGTATCGGACCTAATGCATGTATACCCGGCAACTGCGCCAACCGAGCGGCACTTTCTTCTTCGCGAGTGATTTTGGGAGCCCGTGGTGCTACAATTGTTGAAGACATAGCATTTATATCTTTTGATATTAACCATAATAAGACATTTCTTACCATTTGTAACCAACATAGCTTCATCTTTGACATCTTCTTTGACGATAGCAGCTTTAGGTACAATAGAAAGGTCGAAACCTGTATTGCAATCTCCATTCAAATGTTCGACCAAAGCTTTTTCGAGTAATGCTAAGGAACATGTTTCACGTTCAATGATATAATGTTTATACAAATCTGCCTTTTCGGTTTGTAAAATATTCAAATAATAAGTGGCACGATCACGGACCTCATCATCCGGATCCATTTGGCAACGACCCAAAAGCACGAGAATATTTCCCAACAACGCAGGACAGGAGGCGCCAAATTGTGCCAAGGCAGTAACAGCTGCCGCTCTCACAATTGGACTTTCCAAGATAACTCGGTTGTAGATGAAACGAATATACTTGGAAGGTTGATTGGCAAATGGACCCTCCTTGCCCAAAAGATGTAATATACGCACGGCCAATGAAACATGTTCACAATCTTCAATGAACTCGCACAAATGCGAAAGTCCAGATTCCTTAGCTTCAGCATTCTCCTCAATGATTGTAATAATGGTATCCACAATAGATGTCTTATACTCTAAACCACCTTCTTCTCGTAACATACCACTTAGGAAGTTCATTAAGACGGTATGCTTGCGAGGATATTTTGTGCATAGCGAACAAATGGCTTGTACTACGACAACTTTAAATTCATCGGAAATTTCAGCCACAAAGGACGAAATTTGTTTCATCAAACGCTCTACCGAAGACTCGGCTCCCGTCTTAAGCAGAGTTGTAATGGCAAGGGTGGCCACGGAGCGATTTGAATCAGCAATAAGTCCCTCCAAATCTAAATTACATGTGGTAACAGCAGCAGGGTGAGTCATTGCCACTTTATTTAAAGTTCGAACAGCTGCAAAACGCAATGTGGCCTTGGGTGAGCTGCAGAACAATTGCAGAATGGAGAAAGCTGGCGATAAAACACGTGCATTAGTATTCTTTAAGTTAACAATTGCATGGGCAGCTTCGTAAATAACCATTTCGCTCTTATGGCGCAAACAAGATTCAATGAATGTAAACATTGGAGATTCAGACATTTCATCGGCGGAGATATCCTCTTCTTCGATGAGTTTACAAGCAATGCGAATCTAAAAGAATAGTAACAGAAGAAATGGATGTGAATAAAAACCATCTAATGTGGGAGCATAAGTACTTACCAACATGCAGACAGCGTATGGACTCTTCATTGAATTGCGCGTCAACTTATTAACCAACTTTGTTACGGCCAAGCGGTCCGATTTTCGAATATGGTATAGCAAGCCCAACGCATGATATTGAACCATAATGTTATCGCTGTTAAGGGCTTCTTGTGCTTCGTTGGCCCAACGTTTAACTACATCACCGGCAGTGCCTGCCAATCGCAACGAACTAACCAAAGCTGCACAGGAAACAGCAGCATTCTTATCAACAATACATTGCTTCATGTAACGTTCAACCGCTTGAAGCATCGTATTGTCAGTAATACTGCAGAGAGCACGTATGGCTGCGGCACGATACAAATCCTCCTTTCCAGTCATATCTTTAGTCAAGGAACTGGTGACGATAATAACATCTTCTGCAATCGATGACAACTCCTTGATGCCCAAGTAAACCATGCGACGTAAAACTACATCCTTAGATTGGAACAATTTGGTCATGGCAAAAAAGCAGTCTGTTGCTTCGCGAGTGCCCAACTGTTCTCCCTGATTGATCAGGTATAATATCTTGGTCAAGATGTGAATACATTTTCGGGGATTTACAGGTGTGTCATTAAACGCTCGGGTCTCCTGAAGCACTGAGGTCTTCTCCAAGTTTTGGTAAATGTTGGTGGGGCCTGCAGAAAGTTTGTGATTTGTTTTAAAAATGTTCATGATCGGTAATAACTCCTCGCTCTTATTTTTTTAATTTTGACAAACGACACCAACAACAAGTTATGAAGTAATTCACAACTAGTCAGCCATTCAGCCAGTGTCATATCAAAGTAGAAAAAATGAGTTGGAATTAGGCGAAGCTGAATTTGATAGGCAGCGGTATTTGCTTTGCTCACCAAGATAAGCTATCGACAAGTGACCGTTTTATTTACTTACCCTCTTCTTCGTCTTCTTTTTCTCTGCGGAATGAACCCATTTTTGATTTGGACACCTTGTGAGGATTATTGATATGAACTCAGTAACAAATCTCAATTATTTTTTTATCAAAATCAATGAAAATTTACAGTCAATGAAATTTTACACGTCACACGGAATTGGTCGAATGCAGGGAGTCCTAAATCGACTATTGGACTAATCGATTTTCCTAGCAAACATGTCGATTGTTCTCGTCGAATATCAAATATACTGAAAGAATAAAGGCAGGTATTATGCTATGTTTTTATTGCACTTTCAATTACGTTGTTCGGTCTCATAGCATGTTTCTATTGGAAACCGAACAACGTTGTTCGCTCTCAGAATTATGTACACGAATTAACCCGTTCATACGGCACGATTCGTAATTAATAGTAAAATAATTCCTTTTTTCAAAAATTTTGTTTGTTGATTTTAATGGAATTTATACGAAAATACATGAAATTCTCACTAATATGAATAGAAGAAATGATTGTTTTTCTCCCAAAGATTTATTATATCATTAATTTTATAATTTTCATTCACGTTTTCAACTTTTTGTGTAAATGTTGACATTTTGAACATATTTTTGTATTTTTCTACTTTTAAATTTTGCTGGAGAGACACTTGTCAAACATTTTTTCTGCCGATACAAAGTTTTTGAAAATATTGCCGCTTTTGTTTGCAGTTTTCTGTGAAAATTTCAACTCGTGGATAAAATGCGTACCTCGAATGAGAGAGAAAACAAAATGTACTTTCGTTTGAATGTACATACGCCATTCAACATTGTAGTTTTCATTCATAATTTTCAGTCTTCCCAAAAATTTTTAAAATTTTATTAAATTTTTCTATTTGTAATTTTTAAATGTCATAATTTATTTTTTCGATAAATGTTCTCATTTGTTAGGGATGGGACATATTTTTTCGTTGTTCTGAGAGTGATTTGATTTGAACAACGTACAAATATGAGTGTTCGCTCAGGAAATTTTGTGTGAAGAATAATGTAGTTTTTTCATAGTTAAGGGTCAAACAACGAATAGAGAGCGAATCAAGTGCAGTGGAAACGCCACATCAGAATTAGGTACACAAATTAACCCATTCACACTGCACCATTCGTAATTCCTTGTAAAATAATTCCTTTTTTCAATTTTTTTAATATTTTAGGAATTTGTGTGGAAGTACATGAAATTATCATTAATAATAATAGAAGAAATTATTGTTTTTCTTCCAAGTATTTATTTTATCTTTCATTAAACAGTTTTCATTCATGTTTTGAACTTTTTGTATAAATGTTGACCTTTAACATATATTACTGTATTTTTCTGTTTTTAAATTCGAATGGAGATTCACATGTGAAAAAAATATTTGTCGATACAACAATTTTGCTTCTTTTGTATTAAATTTTCTGACGAAATTCCAACTCGTGGACAAAAAGCGTACATTGGACGAGAGACAAAACGAAATTTACTTTCGTTTGAATGCACATACGCCATTCAACATTATATCTTTCATTCATAATTTTCAATATTCCTAAATGTTTTTAAAATTTTATTACATTTTTTATTTTGAATTTTGATGTGTCATAATTTATTTTTTTCGATAAATGCTCTCATTTGTTAAGAATGACACAAATTTCATCGTAGTTCTGAAAGTGATTTGAAAGGAACAAAGAACAAAAATCTTTGTTCGCTCAAAAAACTTTTGTGTGGGGAATCAAGTAGATATTTCATATTTCATTTCACGTGCCATGTGAACTTTGTATTTAGTACTCTCATCCGCAATTTGAAACCAAAAAATTCTACTGTTTGGTCCATTAAACGTCAAAATTATTAAGTTTTAATTGCAAAAATAAATTTGTTTATGTCACTTGTTCTAACATAATTCTGTTATAAACAATTTTTAAATTACTTTTTTCGATATCATGAAGGGAAAATCGGTTATCATAATCAATGATTTGAAGAAACGTATTATGTGGCGTTTCCACTGCACTTGATTCGCTCTCTATTCGTTGTTTGACCCTTAACTATGAAAAAACTACCTAATGTGGCGTTTCCACTGCACTTGATTCGCTCTCTATTCGTTGTTTGACCCTTAACTATGAAAAAACTACCTAATTCTTCACACAAAATTTCCTGAGCGAACACTCATATTTGTACGTTGTTCAAATCAAATCACTCTCAGAACAACGAAAAAATATGTCCCATCCCTAACAAATGAGAGTATTTATCGAAAAAATAAATTATGACATTTAAAAATTAAAAATAGAAAAATTTGATGAAATTTTAAAAATTTTTGGGAAGACTGAAAATTATGAATGAAAACTACAATGTTGAATGGGGTATGTTCATTCAAACGAAAGTAAATTTTGTTTTCTCTCTCATTCGAGGTACGCATTTTGTCCACGAGTTAAAATTTCCACAGAAAACGCAAACAAAAGAGGCAACATTTTCAAAATGTTTCTATCGGCAGAAAAAATGTTTGACAAGTGTCTCTCCAGCAGAATTTAAAAATGGAAAAACACAAAAATGTGTTCAAAATGTCAACATTTACACAAAAAGTTGAAATCGTGAATGAAAATTGTAAAATTAATGATATAATAAATCTTTGGGAGGAAAACAATAATTTCTTCTATTCATATTAGTGAGAATTTCATGGATTTTCGTATAAATTCCCATTAAAATCAACAAACAAAATTTTTGAAAAAAGGAATTATTTTACTATGAATTACGAATCGTGCCGTATGAACGGGTTAATTCGTGTACTTAATTCTGAGAGCGAACAACGTTGTTCGGTTTCCAATGGAAACATGCTATAATTCTTCACACATTGTTCAAATCAAATCACTCTCAGGACAACGAAAAAATATGTCCCATCCCTAACAAATGAGAGCATTTATCGAAAAAATAAATTATGACATTTAAAAATTGAAAATAGAAAAATTTAATGAAATTTTGAAAAATTTTGGGAAGACTGAAAATTATGAATGAAAACTACAATGTTGAATGGCGTATGTATATTCAAACGAAAGTAAATTTTCTTTTCTCTCTCATCCGAGGTACGCATTTTGTCCACCATTTGAAATTTCCACAGAACACTGGAAACAAAAGAGGCAATATTTTCAAAATGTTTGTATCGGCAGAAAAAATGTTTGACAAGTATCTCTGCAGCAGAATTTAAAAATAGAAAAATACAAAAATATGTTCAAAATGTCAAGATTTACACAAAAAGTTGAAAACGTGAATGAAAATTATAAAATTAATGGTATAATAAATCTTTGGGAGAAAAACAATAATTTCTTCTATTCATATTAGTGAGAATTTCATGTATTTTAGTATAAATTCCCATTAAAATCAACAAACAAAATTTTTGAAAAAAGGAATTATTTTACTATGAATTACGAATCGTGCCGTATGAACGGGTTAATTCATGTACTTAATTCTGAGAGCGAATAACGTTGTTCGGTTTCCAATGGAAACATGCTATTAGATATTAACCAGTTTCGCCATGTGATTGAAATATTGAACAGTTTGGATAATACTTTTGAAAGAAAATCGGGGCATTTCTATAATTTTTCGTGGTATTTAAATCATTTTAAAAATGAGGAAAAAGCCAAATAAATAAGACAACTTTTTGCATTTAATTTTGAGTAATTCTGACAGAATGCGGGCATAGTTCAGGGATGTATGTCTGTAGTTTTACGAAGATGTCCTACCTCCTTGTTGTATTATGTGTTTTACTTGTGTGATGAAATACTTCGAGTTTTAGATAACACTCTAATATTATTACTGTAATATTATTGATATTTTTATTGTATCTCCAGTATATGTATAATTGCGCATGAAAATTTCTATGCATTGATTTTTTTGAAATAAATAAATTGATGGAATGGCCACCCTATAATTTCGATACAAAAAAAACTCAATAGATAGCTCATTTCATAATTAAGTATCGATACTATCGGTATTGACATCAATAGTTTGCCACCTCTATTGTGTACTGCAGAAAGGAATCAATTTACAGGTCATAATGAGGTCCCGCACTAGGTCCAGGAGTAGGCATAGGTCTCCTACAGAACGTCGTAGACGCTCAAAATCAATAGAAAGAAGGGATGGACGTAGACGATCAATTTCCACAAAAAGAAAAGTCCACAATAGCGACGCAAATAGCAGACGTTCTCGATCCCGGAGTAGATCTGAAAGTAGGAGACGTGATCGGAGTAGGGAAAGAACGCGTCAAAGAAGTCCAAAGAAGACAAACAATTATGAAAGAAAGCGAAGAGATTCAAACTTCTCTGAAAATAATGATGGTCATAGGAAGTCCCCTGCAAAAACAACCGAACGTTGGCCCAATGATAAGTATAGGGAAAACAACAGAGATAGAACAAATAATCCGTTTAGAGGGCAACCGTCGGCTATTGTGCATCACGAAGAAAGGCCTCGACATGGATTTGGCCAAAAATCTAACTTTAAACGAGACCCCAAATATTTGCAACAGCGTCGAGAAGAACGTGAAACAATTGGAGCCAAAGGAGCTGAAGAAGTTTGGGCCAAAAGCCCAGCACATCCCGAGAAGTACTCTGATGATGAGGACGATGAAGTCCAGTTATTAGAACACACATATCAAGGACCAAAAAAGAAAAAATCAAAGAAAACTAAAAAGAAGTCCAAAAAGTCTAAGAAAAAGAAAACTAAAAAGAGGAAGAAATCTAAAATGAAGAAAAAGGTTTCATCGTCGTCAGAATCCTCATCAGACGATTCATCGTCTTCTTCGTCTAGTGACAGCTCCAGTGAATCGTCTGATAGTGAATCTTCTTCTAGCGATAGCGAAGAAGAAGTCTGGATAGAAAAGACAGCCGATTCTATTAAAAAATTGAAGACATCAAAGAAAAAGAAAAATAAGAAGAAATCCAAAAAACAAAAGAAATCCAAAGAAGCTGATTTAAAGAACATAGCAAAACCCAGTTCCAGGACACAAACAAAAGATGATGTTAGTGAAGAAGAGGATTTTGGTCCTACATTGCGACACACAGGAAGTCTGAATCAGAAAGATTTCGGGCGCGCATTGCTGCCGGGTGAAGGTGCTGCCATGGCTGCATATATTGCAGAAGGCAAACGTATACCTAGACGTGGTGAAATTGGTCTTACGTCTGAGGAAATTGCCAACTTTGAATCTGTGGGCTATGTTATGAGTGGAAGTCGACATCGTCGTATGGAAGCCGTACGTATTCGTAAGGAAAATCAAATTTACTCGGCCGACGAAAAACGTGCATTAGCCATGTTTAGCAAAGAAGAACGTCAAAAGCGCGAAAACAAAATACTGGCACAATTTAAAGATATGATTAATTCAAAATTACACGCTAAAGACAAAAAATAATGTATTTTATAAATGTATGTATTAAGTAAACAATATATTTTATAAATACGTAGATTTAATTTTATTTAACTCCCAAGAAGGGAGTAATAAACCTAAATATCAAGCAATGTTATGTGGAAGTCGTGCAATGCAGTGTAGATTATGCGGGATATGTTCTGAAACAGTTTAAAGATAGCTGTGAAAAATCAAGTCACCCAATTCCTTACTTTGTAAAAAGATTCGGATACCAGCCGACGGGTTGAAAAAGAATTCTACATCTTATGGTTCTAAACTTAAAAAATAAAATTTGAATTCCTAAAAAGGTTGATTGGCACAAAAAGGAGCAAAACAATTTACTACATCCTTACCCTTTTACCATCTTGGTAAAATGAGTGACCAATCCAAAATAATACGGTGCAGATGCACTTGCATTGGCTATTAACCTGCATCTATAGATGGACATTTTTAGACGCTCCTACTGAAAATACAGAACGAAACAATTGCAATACGCTGATGCTGATTGACTTCGTAAATTCGAGAATCCATTTTTTTCGAAGGTAAAGAGGGAGAGCATTCCTTCGGGAATGCTCTCATCGTTTATCTTCGAAAAATTCTGATCAGCATATTTCGTCTATGTCGTTTCAGGGGTATGAGTTAAAATATTGAAGTAACTCAATACTTAAATGTTAAAAACATCAACAACTGACAGTTGAGAATTGTTCCATAATTAAATATAGGTGTACATTATGTGATGAAAAAATATGAGAACAATGAAATGATTGTAAAACGACAAAATGTGTTAAGGAAGACGAATAGGCCGACTGCGTCAATACAAAGCGTGTTGAGAGCCTCCTGCATTAAGAGACAAAACTAATTTTAAAATGCATATTTCAAAATTCTCACACTTTTGTACTTTTGAGTTTGTTTTTTTTATCTTTGCTTTCATTTATCATTTGTAATAGCGCGTTTAGATACAAAATTTTACCCGGATTAACCCACATTATCAGTATTTATTGCTTAATCCGGTTTTGTTTAACTATGTTAGGGGAATACCCCTAATATATGAATGAAATGTTGGGTTGTCTCCGCAAAGTTGAATCCAAGATAGAGGGACAATTTTGTTTCATCAAAATAATTATACAATCAATTTGTAATTATACATTTCAAAACATCTCATTGTCAAAATATTTATTTACAAGTCCATTGCATGGTAAAATTAAGAAGTAAAGTCATTTCAAATTAGCATTCCCATCTTTGCATTTCTGTAATTTACCTTGCTTAATTTCACTGCATAGAAAGGTGGTTCCCATTTCTGATTTCTGTATGTACATTGTACAATAGACTTATAAATAAATTTTTTGACAATGAGATGTTGTTATATCGTTGGAATACAATTTTGTGCCCAGATTTTTGGTTTACAGAAAATGTTTTTCGTAAAACTACTCTGTAATTTTTTTATACCATCCATCATAGTATGGAGGGTATATTAAGTTTGTCATTCCGTTTGTAACACCTCGAAATATACATTTAAGACCCCACAAAGTATATATATTCTTGATCAGCATAAAATTCTATGTCGATTTATCAATGTCCGTCCGACTATGGAAATCACTCTAGCTTCCGAACGAAATGAAGTAGATTGATAAAATTTTACTCAAATGTGTATTATGTCTGCATGACTTTTGGTATTGAAAATGCCATGTAGGTTCACGTCTTCGTATAGCCCCCATATAACGGTACCCCCGATATTCGGTATTTTGATAATTTTAGCGACATTATTTACCGGAAGTGTTTTAATTTTGGTATTTGAAGTTCGTAATGGATACTACATCCTAAGACAGAAAATGAGCCATGTGTGTAAAATTGTCTGTGCAGGTCCACTTCTTCGTATAGCCCCCATATAACGGAACCCCCGATTTTCGGTGTTTTAATGATTTTAGCGACATTATTTACCGGAATTGTTTCAAATTTTGTATTTGAAGTTCGTAATGGATACTACAGCCTAGACAGAAAATTGTCTGTGCAGGTCCACTTTTATAACCCCCATGGTACCTCCCTATATTCGGTATTTTGATGATTTTAGCTACATTATAAACAGATTTTTTTTCAAGTTTCGCATTTGAATATTGGAATAGCTTGTGACAAAAGTTGCCTATGCAGGTCCACGTCGTCGTATAGACCCTAATATATGGCTACATTCGGTATTTTTAAGATTTTAACAGAAATTTTAACGGATTTTATTTTTTGAAAATTGTTAAATTTGTACCAAATGGTGGAGGGTATTCCAAGTTCGTCCCTGCCGAACTTACAGCTTTTTTACTTATTTATTATTGAAAAGAATACGCACTCATAAACAAATAAAGTTGACACGTTAAGCCAAGAAAATAAAATATTGGTATCATAGCCCTACATCGATTTTATTGTACCATGTACTAAAGCAGGACGTAGTATTCTACGTTACTTAAAAGTCAATCTATGTAAATTTTACCGAAATTCACCGAATGTAAATTTTTAATTTAAATAAATATCACTTTGACTAAACTTATTTTAAAAAATGAGGGAAGCTATTGGAAATTTTCATACTAAGATCATTCACAACGACGGACCTTTGGGCCCCTTGGGCCCATTCCAATCGACGTGGCTTGTCCGCAGGCAACATTCTTTGCGTCAATTGAATTTTGTACGGGAACAAAGTCAAATCAATGCAAATAATCCGTTGTAAAGTGGGCTCGGTCCAACTGCTGAGAACGGCGTTTTTGGGATGTTCTTGGGGACCTCTCAACACTGGCTCGTACGGCAGCGATATTCTCGGACGATCGCCTTGGTCGACTTTTATATGGCCTCTTCGGATTAGAAAGAGCCTTACCAGCCTTACCATTAAAAGCACGTTGAGTTTTCACAATTGACTTCTTCTGTTGAATGTAAATTTCAACTATTTCAGAGCGCTCGCGTGGCGTGTATTGGTTCATGGTAAAAATCTGCTTAGACTGACGCTTCAAACGCGGTATGTCATTAAGCGATGTGACATCTCTGTCAAAAGTTATGGCGTTGCCAGATGGGTCCGTCGAATATGGGCAACCATGTATAAGAATTTTGTTAAAAAAAATTAAAAATAAACAAAGCCTGCATATTTAAAAGTCTTTTTGACACTATAAGACTCCAGCACAGAGTAGCTTTTTTCTAGTTCGTTTGAATTTGAGCAACCTTTCTTATTGAGTCATGGTACTAACCATGGCACCAACCTTGGTACAGTAGCATGAGGTCTAAAGATGAGAATACATAGATGGCTTTTTTGTCCGGCTTTAGTCATCAGCTGGTTTCTTCGTAATAGAACAACGGAGCGTACGACAATCGAAAACTCCTTTGTTCTTTTTCGAAGAAGCCAGTCGATGATTTAAGCCAGTAGAAAAGCCTTCTATGTGTTATTACCTTAATAAAGCTATTTTTTGGTTCCCTTACGATTTTAGACCATTAATTCTGTAATTCTTCATAGTCATGAGGTAAGATGTTTTTTTTTTTTTTTTTTGTAAAAAAAATGCACAAAAACTGCTAAATACTGCTAAATAATATACCTTAAAGTAATCATAAGTATGAAAAAAATCTATCGTAACTATATATATATAGTTATATATCGTTTTTTAATGCTAATATATTGCAATTTTGTTGTTAGGATTTTCAAAAAAATAAACTCCTGAAGAAGTTGCAAAGAGACCAACAAAGCGTTGAGTTAACTCAACTGAAATAAATTTGTTGTATCAACGCTTGGGAGCATTGATATGTCAAAAACTTAAATTTCTTTTCAAATATAAGTAGATTTTTATATGTTTTTTTTTTATACGACACAAATCGTGGGTTGTTCAGATATCCATTTTTCAACAATTTTTACAAATTTAAATAATTTTTCATTCAACATTTTCAATTCCAAAATTGTTTTGACAGTTCATTGTCCCAGCAGCTGCATCAATGCGTCTACCTATATTCTTCTACCATGGTAGAACCAGCGAACGAAAACAAACGAAACGAATAATGTACTGCTCACACGAAGTCACAAACTTTAAAATTTTTTCAATCGTTGTGTACTTCAAACAAAGCAAAACTACAAACATTTCAATACCAGTAATACACAAATAATACGATTGCTTTAATGTACCTCGGCTGCCGAGCTGTGTCGTTTGAGAACAGATCGCCGGGAAACGTTTGCTGTGTGAAACGATGATTGTTATGTTTAGAGTTGACATACTAAGTATTGTTTTGCACCTTTTCCATTGTATGTTGGGCGTAATAAATGAATAAAAAGGCATGGAATTTACTTAATATTAGTTTTTACCTTATTTGTAACGAGTTACAATAAAGGGAAACATTGGCAAACGTTTCCAATGAGTTTTGTACTGTTTCGTTTCCAATGTTGCGTCATCCACTCGAGTACATTTCAGTATTGTTTTTGTTTACACTCTTCTACGCAAACAGTACAAATTAAAAAACAAATCCCGTTATCTTAATATCGGTTTTGTTTCGCTTTGTACTTCGATAAAATACAGAACGAAACGATTGCAAACGTTTGATAAAGTTTATTTTCGTACGCTGGGTAGAACTAAAAAGGTAAAGTCATGTAATCATATGTTTGCAATTTTTTTTCAAATTTATACATTTGGCAACATCTCATTGTCAAAATCTGTATTCGTAAATCCATTGTATACACACAAAATCAAAGATGGGAATCGGTTTTTATGCATTGAAATTTAAAAAGGTAAATTACGGAAAATGCAGATCTGCGAGTGCTAAATTAAAATGAGGTTACCTTTATTTCATTGTACAATGGTTTGGCCTTAGAATTTGTTGCACCATGCTTGGTATCATGGCGCAATTACAGAAGGTAGAACAAAGCTCTTTCCTGAATGCAATTGTTTTTCTTTCGGAGCTTCTATTCTGTCAAGACATATACATATGTAATTTAAAATTATTTCAAATATAGGGACAACAGAAATTCCAATTTCCTACTTTAATCTTGTTATACTATCTAGGTTTCTCCCATATCTTAGTTTTATAAATGAACAAAACCAATTGTTGCATATTTAAAAGTCTTTTTGACACTATAAGACTCCAGCACAGAGTTGCTTTTTTCTAGTTCGTTTGAAGTTGAACAACCTTCCCTATTGTACTAAAGCATGAGGTACATGGTAGAAGAATACAGGCAGATGCATCAACACTTGGGAACATAGATATGTCAAAAAATTTCAAATGTTTTTTCAAATATAAGTAGATTTTTATAGGTTTTCTTATACGACATCATTCGGAGGTTATTATAATTTGCGTTTTTCAACAATTTTAAATAATTTTTCATTTAATATTTTCAATTCCCAAATTGGTTTAACAGTTCATTGTCCCAGCAGCTGTGTCGATGCGTCTACCTACATACTTCTACCATGATGAGGTAGAATAACGTTACCGTGGTAAAATTAAGAAGGTAAAGTCCAAAAAACATTCTCTTCTCTGCATTTTCTGTAATTTACCTTGTCACAAAATCAAGGAGATAATGTTATGCAATTATATGTTTACAATTTTTTCAAATATTCATTTGACAAAATCCCATTGTCAAAATTGGTATTTATAAATCCATTGTACATACACAAATCAGAGATGGGAACCTGTTTTAAAATGTGACAAGGTAAATTACGGAAAATGCAGAGATGGGTATGATTTTTGAAAATGACTTTACCTTCTTAATTTTACCATGGAGCCACCATTCATCATCAGTTCCACTATTTTTTGTCTGGGATATTCTCCCAGGTGTTATTTTAATCCTGGGGTGTAAATTAGTTCGTTTTGGGATAATAATTAGTTCGTTTTTGTGATAAAACAATATTGTCCTCCCTTCCTTGTATTCCATTTTACGAAACGTTCCTTGTTTTCTCCAATTTTATAAATTTGAAAAGAAAATTACAAAATAAACAAATCCAATTGTGGCTTGCTGTAAAAGTTGATTTGTCGCAATAAGACTTCTATAGAGTTGTTTTTACCCTGTTTTTTTTATAAGATAAAAAAAAACAAGTAAGCAAAGGCTACATTCGAGCGGGGCCGACCATTAAATACCCTACAACACTATAATAAATGATACAGTTTATATAGGCGAGATACTCGAAAGAATTCCACAAGATATTGTGACAAATAATAAAAGAAACCCATCAGGTTTCGTTCTCTAATTTTCGAATAATAGCAACTTAAACTAATTTGCTCATTTCCAATTTATTGGTAAATGGTCTTCCTAGATCTGGAATCAATATTTCCCAAAGACTTATAATATCTTAGAAGTGGCAAAAGATTAACATTAATTATTGGTTTTTGACTGAAACGCATCTATATGAGATACAGACATTTGTCTATATTCTTCAACGAAATCAGCGTTAACGAAATAGTCAGAAGTGCGTCTTTCCTGTATTTGTGAATTCTCCAAAAAGTCACTGGAATGGACATTTTCGTATTTTATCTACAAAAGTTGGCAAACTCCTTCACACATTGAATATTTTTGGATGCCCATCCAAAACTGCTTGGCTTTTGCAATGTTCGGTAACCCCCATTCAAATGTGCGTGAGGATCGGTCGATAATTACGACCTGCTGACAATTTTGCAGTTTTTTGGTCCATTTCAACCCCTAAATATATGGCGATCATCTCCAATAAGAGTAGGCTTCTATTCTGACCCTCATCTTATCCCCATGCAAAATTTCGTAAGGATCGGGCCATAAATGCGATCTGTATATGATATCCTGATATCCTAACTACTTAGTTTTGTTAGATGTAGAAATATTACCAAATGTTTCATTCAAAATGAAAATATGCCAAAAATATGACAAAATTGAAAAAATATGAGAAAATGTTACAAAATCAATATTTTCATCTTTAGAGAGATATTTTTATACGATTTTTCTTTCCTGCCAAGAGGCCATTCTGAATTAATGAGAACTGTCGAAATCAGTTCAGCCGTTCTCGACATATATGACATCTTTCAAGCATATCTTCTTTGATAGACATATATATCGCACATATTTTTCTATATATCCCATTTGTTGTATGTTAACATCAATGTAAAGATCAGAAGTAACCTTGTCATGGCTTTGTGATTTCGCCGGGATTTAAAATATTCGCGGTTTAATGAAAAATTTTGAATTTTTTCAACAAAAAAGATATGGTCTATTTTACCCGCTAAATATTATCCGATGACCAAAATTGGTAGGCTTCTTCCCCGCCCTAAACTCTAGCTACATGCGAAATTCCGCGTCGATTGGTCTATAATTGCGACCTGTATAGCTACTACAAAATCCGACATTTTTTCAGTATTCGGTGCATTTCAACCCCTAAATATTATGCGATCATCTTCAAAAGAAATAGGGTTCTATTCTGACTTTAACCCCACCTCCATTCTAAATTTCGTGAAGATCGTGCCATAATTGCGACCTGTAGAGTGATTACAAATTAACATGGACAGACGGACAGACGGACGGACATACATAGCTAGATCGACTCAGCTCGGCGAGCTAGGAAGATCCATATATACTTTCTTATATGGGAAACCAATATTTCGAGGTGTTACATAAATTCTGGCCTAATCAAACTTATAATACACCCAACACATAGTGTTGTAGGGTATAAAAACAAACTTTATAAAAACTATAAATAGTTGAAACCACGGTACAATAAGCAACTAGAACAGCTTTGTAAAAGTACTGAAATACCGCCCTGAGGCTATGCCCGCTTCGTGTCATAGGTATTCAAAATTACATGCAATAAGTTGTTTTAATTTATTTTCCTCATTTTAAAAATGAGTTAAAAAGCGCGAAAAATGAATGAAAAGCCTAGGCCTTGTTTCATTCCATAGCAAAACTGGCTTATATTCTTAATGCGAAACCTGCAATGTACGATTCTACTAGCTATTGATTTTGAATTTTTGCATTCTTCTACCATTCGTACAGATTATGGGAACGGTGAGTATTTTTGTATGGTAACGAACCATTATCACACGCTATGAATAAAGTATTACAATTCGATGACAAACTCATACGTTACATTGTAAGAAGCCACATTTTTCGTTTTTTTTTCTCTCTGATATGTTGGTAGCTCTGACATCTTAAAAAAATATGTTGACATATAAACTCTAGTGATTTCTATAGGTACACACATAAACCGGACTATATCTATATGTATGCGCATGTACATCTGACACAAACAAAATTAAATATGGCGTCGGCAAATGTATGTAAGGCGAGGCCTATCGTATTGACATACTAGAAATACGATATATGCAACACTGAAAACTGCAACTGTGAAATCGTAGTATATTTGGGATTATTTTACACCATCCATAGTTTTGAAACTATATTGTTAATGAACGTATTGAATGAAGCAATAAAAAAATACATGAAAATTATGATGAAGAACTATTTCTGATCAATTGTTGAATTGTGGGATAGTTTAAAAAAATATTTTGTTGTCTTTTTATAATTTTTTTTTAACAATTACACACATAAAGCTTCCATCATGGTATTCATCTCTTAGAATCTTTGTACAATAATTGCATATTTGAAGCATATGAAGCTCCCAATAACAGATCATTAAATATGTATTCATCGTTTGAAACAACACATATTTAGAATAGTACAAAAATATATTTATTAAACATATTCAAATTCAGTTGAATTATTAATGTTATTTTCAACTGAATTGAAATTATTATAAATGGCAACAAATTACTTTTATTAAAAAGTAATTTTTAAAATTTGGGTCTTTCCCTTTAATTAAAAGAATTTATATGGCATTTTCTTCTTTGCATTCTCTAATTCTAAAATTGTTCTAAATAAGAAAATAAACTTAACTGGGGAATATAAGAAAATCATTTATTTAAACCTACGAACTGATGTAGGTCCGATTTTGGTTTGATGAAAATACGTAAATAATGTTTCCATGAATTAAACAAAATAATTATTATAGAGACAAAACAAGAATTGTATAAAAAATTTCACTTCAAATGTTCTCATATACGATCAGAAAAAGGTAATGCTTGTGTAAAATAGCCCCTACCTACAGTTGATTAAACCAACAGAGTTGAATTTTTATTACTTTCAATATAAACAATTTTGTTATGTAATTTTTTGCATTTATATACAAACGACAAGCAGTTTTCTTCACAGAAGTCGCAAAGCTTTCGAAATAATTCACAAAATAAGAAATACAGAGCTCAAAAAACTTCAAGGTTTTAGTAATATTTGCTACAACTGTGAAAAGAAAGAAAATTCCAATAATGGTTGCCTCTATAGATTAATACACACATTCGCATACACGAACAATTTGACATGTCGTGACATACGACGACGATAGATGGGTACAGCAAATCTGTGATGTCAATATTTCGATAAAGTTTAAAAGCGTTATTTTGCAATAAAAGAAAGTGCGTCGAGTGCTGATATGAATAATAAATATAAAATATAACTAAAAACTGTAACAACTGAAAGAATAAACAATGAAAACACAAAGTACATGTTAATTTGAATGTTGTCAAATATATTTACGCCAAAATATATCCATCTCATAGTAAAAGTGCCAAATACCACATCAGGCAGTTTTCATGGAATCGTAAACAAAATCGCAACAAATAGTTCTGTTGGAAAACAAGTCAATTGCATTTAAATCAAAGACGTGGTGTACTGAAGTAATCAATGTTATGTTGCTTGGACAAAATTATATTTGTTTTCTCGCTAAAAACTACTTTAAAGAGTAATATCGGTCGAAAGTTTCACAAGAATTTGTTAGACGTTTTTTCATTAATTACATTTGGTGAATGGCAAATCTGCGCCATTTGGCATCAATTACTGCCGGCAATAGTTAACAACACTGTTGTAAACACAGTTTAGAGTGTAATAATAACAACAGATACAGCAATCTCTCTGTTAGCTTAAAATTGGTAAAAATTGATGGACTATTAGCGAATTGGGCCGCTATAAAGAAAAGTAGAAAAGATGCTGGAAGAAACAGGCAATAAATATGCAGCTGAAGATAGTGGTCTTGAGAATCAGGGCACCTGGCAACAGAAGTATTCCTGGCGGCGGGTATTGAACACTACAGGACCACAACCCCGACCACGTCATGGCCACCGCGCAATCAATATAAAGGAACTGATGGTTGTATTTGGAGGAGGCAATGAAGGCATTGTGGACGAGCTCCATGTATATAATACAATCACTAATCAATGGTTCGTACCGGCCATGAAAGGAGATGTACCGCCTGGATGTGCAGCCTATGGATTTGTGTGCGACGGTACTCGAATGTTCATTTTTGGTGGCATGATCGAATACGGAAAATACTCAAATGAATTGCACGAACTACAAGCCACAAAGTGGGAGTGGCGAAAAATGCAGCCCGATCCTCCAGATAATGATATGCCACCGTGCCCTCGTTTGGGCCATAGTTTTACTTTGGTTGGGGAGCGTATTTTCCTATTTGGTGGCTTAGCCAATGAATCGGATGATCCCAAAAATAATATCCCGAAATATTTAAATGACTTGTATATTTTGGAAACAAGAGCTGCCCACAGTTACAACGGAAAATGGATTGTACCCAAAACGTATGGCGACAATCCTCCTCCCCGCGAGTCCCACACAGGCGTTTCGTTTACATGCAAAACATCCGGAAAACTGTACTTACTTATATATGGTGGTATGAGTGGTTGTCGTTTGGGTGACCTGTGGCTACTGGATATTGACTCAATGACATGGTCAAAGCCTCAAACGCGAGGACGAGCTCCATTGCCGCGTTCTTTGCACAGTGCTACTATGATAAACAATAAGATGTACGTCTTTGGTGGTTGGGTTCCCTTGGTGGCGGATGATTCGAAGACCACCATTGAGAGGGAATGGAAATGCACCAACACCTTGGCCGTTCTGAATTTGGATACATTGACATGGCAAAACATCAATATGGAAGCTGCAGAGGATAATGTTCCTCGTGCCCGTGCCGGGCATTGTGCTATTGGCATCCACAGCCGTTTATATGTATGGTCTGGTCGGGATGGTTATCGCAAGGCATGGAATAATCAGGTCTGTTGCAAAGATCTATGGTATCTTGATGTAGATAGACCTTTGTATGCCGTGAAGGTGGCCCTGGTAAGGGCATCTACACATGCATTGGAAATCTGTTGGCAAGCAACCACATTTGCCTCAGCATATGAATTACAAATACAGAAAATTGAGCCGCTACCTGTTCCAGTCAAGCAAACACCACCACAGCCTTCCACACCAATGCCATTCGGAAATACAACATCATCACCTATGATGGCCAATGGAAGCTCGGCATCGGCTATATCGGCAGGTACTCCCAGTGCAGCCCAGCCTACATCCAAGTTCCATAAAATTCAAATACCAACAACTGTGTCCATTATTCCTGCAGGAGCAACTACAGCTACTGGTCCACTCACTACGAATGCAGCAGCGAGCGGAACTGCAGTGGCTGCATCTTCTTCAGGCATAAACAATATGGTAGGTGGCTACCAGGCCACAATGACCAGTAAAATACAGAACACTGCAGCTAGCATAGGAGCAGGACAAACGCCTGTAACCCATACAGCATCCAGCTCAACAAGCTATTCGGCCCGATCACAGTTGGAGTCAGCGGGAACAACTGTTTTAGGCTCCACTGCCACATATATCAAACAACCAGCCAGTACAGCAGCTGGTAATGCATCGGTAGCTGTAACAGGCACAACCGTGGTAGCCGGAAATCTTGGACAGGTTCAAAGCGCTGGACTATTAAACGCGGGCACATCAAATGTGACTACAATTCTGCAGAAGATTCGACCAACGGCTGTGGTCTCTCGAACTACCACGACAGTAACTAGTGCTGTCAATTCTATTGTCTCTCCTGTTAGCTCTTCACAAATGGTTCTTACTGCTGCTGGTTCTACGTCGGGCACAACTGTGGCTGCATCTGGAGCAGCCCCTGCCACCAATATACGGGTTGTAACATCGGTTCCGTCGGGTGCTGTGCCAGTTAATACAACCAATTCGACTGTACGCCTGGTAGCCTCTGGATCAAGTGGTTTACGGCTCGCCACGCAAACAGGTACAACTGTTCCGACATCTGCAGTTACTCAATTGTCAGCGGTTAACCAACTTAGCGGCAATCAGGTGGTTGCTGCAGCCAGCTCAGGTGGTGGCACAACCTCGACTACGATTGGAGGTAAACAGTACATTATACAGAAGCCCCTAACACTGAACTCCAATGTACAGTTCCAATTGGTTAAAACGAGCAGCGGAGGCGTGGCTGTGCAAACATTTCCCAAAATCAACATTAATATGGCTAAAGGAACTGGCATACAATCTTCCACGGGAGCAACGTTAACGAACACATCACAGCCCAAGCAGACACAGTTTATTTTCAGCGGCAATGTCAGTGGAGCGGCAGCTGGTGGTCAGCAGAAACAAATTATGCCTGGAAATGTTGTCAAATTGGTTTCACCACATACCCTAAGCGGCAGTAATGTCATTATGAAGAACTCAAATATTCTGCAAGTTAGTAAAATGCCATCAAGTGTGTCGGGAAAATCGGCATTTGTAATTACAAATAAACAAGGGCAGCAGTTGACAAACCAGCAAATAATCATAGTTACCACAGGGACAGGTATACGCGCCATACCATCGGGAAGTGTAGTTACCAACGCCTCATCTTCCAACTTGGTATCGGTTGTGGACACAATGACGACAACTGTTCCTACAGCAACTATCGCAAGAAATGTTATCAGCACACCGGGCGGTGTTAAAATGATCCACAATGTTGCAACAAGTTCAGTCAGACCTATTACTATAACATCACAACCAGGTGCTGGAGGCGGACAACTTCACCAGAAAACTATAACGTTAGGCGGCAAAGCTGTCACAGTTCAAATGCCATCAAACCCTTCCAATTTGTCGGCCGTAACCAAAACAGTTACAATTGTCGCATCTAATAGCGGCCTCTCCAAGACACACAATCAAATTGTTACAGCTGGAAACTCGTCTGGGGCTACCAGTAAATTAGTTGTGGTACCTACAAATTCTAATCAGGCTGCTTCAATGAAGGGCTTCGTAAACATATTCAATGCCAGCAATACATTACAACGCGCTATTACCTTGTCATCGAAGGGTAATATCCAACAGCAGCAACCTGTTCAGCAACAACAAACCATTTCTGCGGCTAATCTCAATATTGCCAGTGCTGAATCTGTATCTGAAACTGGAGGCGATCAAGATTCCAATGGAGGAGATACCATGGATGATATTATTGAACAATTGGATGGGGCTTCCGAAATATTAACTGCGTTGACCAAGAATAGCGAGCACTGCTCGGAAAACAGTATCTCCATGTCCTTTGACGTCTAGCGTGATCAAGAGATGCCCCGCTTCCCTCAACAGGAACAACATTGTTGGCAATATCACATTAACAGACCGACATAGATATACAAGTTGATTCAAGTTTATACTAAATTTTTGATAAAATTCATATTGACAAACAAACAAACAAACAAAAGAAGCAAGAAGTATATATAGAAATAGTCTTGTAATTTAACGAAATTTTATTGATGATATACTTATTATTATACATACATAGATACATACTTACATAATAACAACAATAATAATAACTTAGCACTGCTGTTTGAAACAACAAAATTCGTATCAATAGGATTATACATATTAATTCTTAAAACGTGCATCTTAATACACACACACTCTATATTACTAGTACATATTTATTATATATACTTATATTTTTTTCATTTCAATTCAATTATTAAGTAAACTTACGAACAACCACTTAGATAAGCATAGTCTTTGTGAAAACTCCCGTTGTGTTTACATACTATGTATTTTGTACATATTATGTTACCACAAGAAGAAATGTCGTTACATACCTACATACATTTTTGTGAAAAAGAGTTAGCAGTGACTTTAAAAAGTAAATTCATATAATATGTAAGAGAACGATTTGCTACCAAATGGTCATTTCTCTAGCATATAAACTAACAAACATACATGTTTTAAATATTGAAATAAGCGTTTTACTTTCGCGAATATTTCATATAATTTTGTTTTAAGTTATTTTTAGAGTTAAAGCTGCATTGGAAATAAACGAAAACCCATAAATTTGTAAAATTGATGTATTTATTAATCATTTCGTTGTGGTTTATTTGAAATAACTGCTCTGTGCCAGAACCTGCAAGAATCTACTAGTTTTGCAATTTTTTTTTCGATATCATAATAAAGAAAAAATCGGCTATTGTAGTTAGAAGTTATATATTATTGTAGTTCTGGAAAAGTGTAAATATCTCCAATAGTTTATTTGCATCATGTTTAAATAGGAACATTTATACATTTTTTGAATGTGAGATTATTATATATATAAATTAAAATAGTTTACATTTTACATACACGAAAAACACAACCTGTACTAAGCAAAAAATATTTTGTGATCTTGTGTATCCTGAGTTAGTTGTCAACATTTTTAACTGCTGCCATCTGGTTAGGATTTCCAAAATGATTGGCCTTATTGCAGATATTCTAAACGACCGTTTGCAAAAATTAACTATAATCTACTGCAAAAAGACAATCGTGTCCCAGTGGTATATTTTTATTAAACCAATATGTACCTCACTTAATCCAAGCGCTTTCTTCCTTGCCTGAGATTTACAATACCCACATTAGGCGCAGCATCTATTCAGTATTTAATATTTATTTTATTTTATTCTCTACGTCATAACATCAGTCCAGTCACACAAGTCAGGTCTCTCACGCCCCAGGGGGAGAAATGGTCCGCATCTTGACGCGAATTGAGAAGGAAATTGGAAGCTATCAACTTTGTCAGCTAGTTTTTTAATTAATAAAAGATATGTATACATGATACAATGATATCAAGGTAGGACCATATGATTTTAATTATTTATTTTCTTGGCTTAATTCTTCTCAATAATATGAAAATTGTTAAACATAATATAATAAAATATTAAATTTCTAGTGCTTTCAAAATGCTTATGGCAACGCATGCATGGACAAAATAACAAGTTTTTGTAGCAAAATAAATCTTTAGAGATATATAGAACATGATTTTAAAAAGAAATTTTGAGCTTTCATTCACTTTTCGCGTTTTTTAATCATTTATTCAAAATCAATGCAACAAGTTGTTTTCTTTTTTGGTTGTTCAGATAGTCATTACAAGCAAAACAGGTAGATCTCTATACTTGAATTTTTTTCAAAGTTAGCCTACCTTGTCTTTATTTTACCATGGCCTGGCCTGGCATGGCAGTTAGTGTTTCCTATATGTAGAAACGTCAAAGACATAGAAGTATAAAGATGGGACAAGACAGAGTCAAAATATTGTCACCAGGTGTAAATACCTCTGTTGTTACGATATCATAACAACATAATCATCAATGTTAAGTTGTTTTAACAGCAAATGCAATATTCAAACGTCAGTGAAATGCAATTTTTAGTTCAAATTTTTGGTTTACAGAAAATTTTATTCTCAAAATTGCTCTGTAAATATAATTTTTATGCTAACATGTCACTGTTGTGAGCAGCGCCTCTATATATTTTTCACATTAACTATTTTTCCATTATGCATTTTGTCCAGTCTTTACCATTTTAGGTCTTTGGAAACGTCAAAGACCTAAAATGGTAAAGACTGGACAAAATGCATAATGGAAAAATAGTTAATGTGAAAAATATATAGAGGCGCTGCTCACAACAGTGACATGTTAGCATAAAAATTATATTTACAGAGCAATTTTGAGAATAAAATTTTCTGTAAACCAAAAATTTGAACTAAAAATTGCATTTCACTGACGTTTGAATATTGCATTTGCTGTTAAAACAACTTAACATTGATGATTATGTTGTTATGATATCGTAACAACAGAGGTATTTACACCTGGTGACAATATTTTGACTCTGTCTTGTCCCATCTTTATACTTCTATGTCTTTGATTTGGAGTTCGCAAGGTAAAATAATTGCAAGGTAGGGCAAAGTTGTTAGATGTTTTTAAATTTTAAAGCCTTGTAACTTCAAACAACAAGTGGTTTTTTATACCCTTCACCATAGTATGGAGGGTATATTAAGTTTGCCATTCCGTTTGTAACTCCACGAAATATACATTTTAGACCCCACAAAGTATATATATTTTTGATCAGCATAAAATTCTATGTCGATTAGCTACATCCATCCGTTTATCCATCTGTGGAAATCACTCTATCTTCCGAACGAAATGAAGTAGATTGATAAAATTTTACTCAAATGTATATTATGTCTGCAGGACTTTTGGTATTGAAAATGGGCCATGTAGGTACACGTTATGTTATAGCCCCCATATAACGGTACCTCTCGATATTTTGATGATTTAGCGTCGTTATTCACCAGAATTGTTTTAAATTTTGTACAGCCTAAGACAGGAAATTGTCTGTGCAGGTTCACGTCTTCATATGGCTGCTACAGCCTATGATAGGAGATTGTCTGTGCAGGTCCACGTCTTCTTGTAGCCCCCATATAATGGTACCGGAATTTTTATGATTTTAGCGATATTATTCAGCGGAATAGTTTCAAATTTGGTATTTGAAATTCGTAATGGATACTGCAGGCTAAGACTGAAAATTGTCTGTGCAGGTCCACGTCTTCGTATAGCCCCCATATAACGGTACCTCCCGGTATTCGGTATTTTGATGATTTTAGCGACATTATTAACCGATTTTTTTGTTAAGTTTCGCATTTGAATATTGTAATGGCTTATGACAAATGTTACCTACGCAGGTTTATGTCGTCGTATAGACCCTAATATAATACCTACATTCGGTATTTTTAAGATTTTAACAGAATTTTTAACGGATTTTATTGTTTCGTTCCCAATGGTGGAGGGTATTTAAAGTTTGACCCGGCCGAACTTACAGCTTTTTTACTTGTTTTTACTTGACACTTTTCTCACAAGGGGACATCGCAAAAAATGAATGGAACGACGAGGATTTTTCACAACATCGTGTTCCTAATGCGATTACAAATCTTTCTTATTTCAAAAAACTGTAAATATGAATATAAATTTCAAAAAAAAAAAAAAAAAAAAAAAAATGGAACACATCTAGTTTAGTAAAAACTCTTAGGTTTTTTCGAAATTTTTTCCAGAGATAGGTATTTTTACCTTGATCCCGGGAAACTATTTTTTCTTGGGGGACGGACCCGGGACCCCAGATTTTTGACCCGAAAGTTCGGGATCAAGACCCCGCATGGACCCGGATCCACTTACCCGATATAGACCATATGGGTATCGATTAAAAACTTATGGAAATACCTAAAGTGGTCACATGAAGGTGTAAGTTGTCATGGTTCGGAAGTTATAGTCAAATTATCGATTTTTTGGACCCGGATTTTTTATAAAATCCCCAAGGTCTCATTATGCGGGTCAACAAAATTGTTTCCAACTTATAGCTGACACTTTTACCTTTCCAAAATGCTACAATTTGTGCTAATACCTTTTTCGGGTCCAGAGATATGGGTCTTTCCATCCGCATAACCCGATTCTAACCAGTTCATTAAAATGATGTTTTCAATAAAAAAGGGTTTATTTCGCGTAGCACACACCACACCGGCTAACGCGAACCAAAGTTTTCTAAATTGGATACCTTTTGTAAGTAGCCGGCCTTTGGCCGGGGCTTCAGATTTTCTCCTCTGGGTATGTCCTACACCGGCTAACGCGAACCAAAGTTTTCTAAATTTGACACTTTTTGTAAATAGCCGGCCTTCGCCGGGGCTTGAGATTTCCATCCGCATAATCCGATTCTAACCAGTTCATTAAAATGATGTTTTCAATAAAAAAGGGTTTATTTCGCGTAGCAGTCGTCGGAATAACAAAAGTTTTCTAAATTTGGCACTTTTTGTAAATAGTCGGCCTTCGGCCGGGACTTGAGATTTTCGCCTATGGGTATGTCCGACACAGGCTAACGCGAACAAAAGGTTCCTAATTTCGGCACTTTTTCTAAATAGGCGGCCTCCGGCCGGGGCTTGGGATTTTCTCCTCTGGGTATGTCCCACACCGGCTAACGCAAACCAAAGTTTTCTAAATTGGATACCTTTTGTAAGTAGCCGGCCTTCGGCCGGGGCTTCAGATTTTCTCCTCTGGGTATGTCCTACACCGGCTAACGCGAACCAAAGATTTCTGAATTTCTTGCTTACGCGAAATATACCTTTTTTTATTGAAAACATAGTTTTAATGAACTGGTTAAAATCGGGTTATGCGGATGGAAAGACCCATGTCTCTGGACTCGGTAAAGGTATTATCACAAATTGTAGCATTTTGGAAAGGTAAGCTATAATTTGGCATCAATTTTGTTGTCCCCCAAAATGGACCCTTTTTTGACTTTTTGAGGGTTTTATAAAAAACCCGGGTCCAAAACATCGAAACATCTTACCCCATCATGTGACCTTGTTGTTGTTATTTTGTAGGATAGGTATTTTCATAAGCTTTCCAACGATATCTATATTGTCCATATCGGGTAATTGGATTCGGGTCTAGTCGGGGTCTTGAACCCGGACTTTCGGGTCAAAAATCTTGGGACCCAGGTCCGTCCCCCAAGAAAAAATAGTTTCCCGGGATCAGGGTAAAAATACCTACCACCGAAAAAAAAATTTCGGAAAAATCTAAGAGTTTTTACTAAACTAGAGTTAAGCCTAGATTTGTTAACATCAATTTTTGAATATGATATCACTCAAATGGCAGTCTCTGGCGTTGATGACGTATTGTGCCCTTTTTGCTGCATTTTCCATCGTTTTTCCAGCATTTCGGCCGGAATAGCGGCTATTTCTTCACGAATGTTGCCCTCGAGCTCTTCTACGGTCCTTGGCTTGTTAACGTAAACCTTTGACTTCAAATATCCCCACAAGAAGAAGTCAGGCGGCGTCAAATCGGGCGAACGCGGTGGCCAGTCCAAATCACCACTTTCCGACATCAAACGGCCCGGAAACAAATTCTTCAGAAAATCGATTGTTATGCGACTTGTGTGCGGTGGAGCGCCGTCTTGTTGAAACCAGAACTACCTCATACGCTTTCGGCGAATAATTGGCATCACAAAATTGGCCATCATGTCGCGATAACGCTCCTGATTGATGGCATCAGCATGGCCATTTTCATTTAGGAAGAAAAACGGTCCAATGACCGTTTTCGCACTAACGCCGCACCAAACTGTGACTTTTTCGTCATGAAGTGGCACTTCTTGCATCTCCTGAGGATTTTCAGTGGCGTAAAAACGGCAATTTTGCTTATTTACGGTCCCATTCAATGTGAAATGGGCTTCACCGGACATGATAATTTTGTTCCAAAATTGCTCGTCATCTTCGGCCATTTCGATGATTTTTGGGCCCATTCCAATCGACGAGGCTTGTCCGCAGGCAACATTCTTTGCGTCAATTGAATTTTGTACGGGAACAAATGCAAATCAATGCGAATAATCCGTTGTAAAGTGGACCGAGCCATGCCCAACTGCTGAGAACGGCGTTTTTGGGATGTTCTTGGGGACCTCTCAACACTGGCTCGTACGGCAGCGATATTCTCGGCCGATCGCCTTGGTCGACTTCTATATGGCCTCTTCGGATTAGAAAGAGCCTTACCAGTCTAAAATTTGTCGTATAAACGTTTAATGGTGTTCTTAGAAGGCGCACTTCTCACATTTTTTAATGTTTTAAAAGCACGTTGAGTTTTCACAATTGACTTCTTCTGTTGAATATAAATTTCAACTATTTCAGAGAGCTCACGTGGCGCGTATTGGTTCATGGTAAAAATCTGCTGGGATTGACGCTTCAAACGCGGTATGACATTAAGCGATGTGACATCTCTGTCAAAAGTTATGGCGTTGCCAGATGGGTCCGTCGAATATGGGCGATACATTGAGGAGACGGTAGGCTAAGTTGGAAATTTTGCAAGTAAAGAGGCCTACTTGTATGGATTGTAATGTCAGAACTTCTACTATGCTTCAATTTTATGAAAAAACCCCAATATTCCATTCATGGTACAATGCATGGTACAATGAATACAAGGTAGGCCAACTTTGAAAAAATTGCAAGTATAGAGGTCTACCTGTTTGGCTTGTAATGTCAGAATTAGTATCAAAACAATAAAAAATGAAACAACTTGTTGCATTTATTTTGAATAAATAATTGAAAATCGGGAAAACTGAATGGAAGGTCAAAATTTCTTTTCAAAATCATGTTTTACATATCAGTTATGGTTTATTTCGCGACAAAAACTGTAGATTTTTTCGATGCATAAGTCGAAAAAAGCATTTTGAAAACACCCGAATTTAAATATTTTCTGAACAATTTATTTATTATTGAAAAGAATACACACACATAAACAAATGATGTTGACATATTAAGCCAGAAAAATAAAAAAAATAAAATCATATGGTAGTTCTGCCCTACCTTGAATTCATTGTACCATGGAACAATGAAGACAAGGTAGGCTAACATTGAAAAAATTGCAAGTATAGAGGTCTATCTGTTTGGCTTGTAATGTCAGAATTACTATCAAAACAATAAAAAAGCAAACAACTTGTTGCATTGATTTTGAATAAATAATTTAAAACCGCGGAAACTGAATGATAGTTCAAAATTTATTTTCAAAATCATGTTCTATATATCTCTTATGGTTTATTTCGCGACAATTTTTTTATTATTGAAAAGAACACACACGTAAACAAATGAAGTTGACATATTAAGACAGAATAATAAAAAAATTGAAATCATATGGTAGTTCTGCCCTACCTTGAATTCAATGTACCATGATTCCATTCATGTTTAGTGGTTTTTTTTTGTAAGTTAAGTAAATACTATTAAGTTGCATTTTTAAATAATTTTAAGACTTTTGTAGAGTTATTATTCAATTTCCCTGTAATTTTTTTTTTTTACAAATTTTGTATTTTATTTGTTAATATTTTTTTCTCTTTCTGTATAGATTTATTTATTTTTTATCCCCCTTTTTGAAGTCCCGGAAAAAAATTTTAAATAAGATGCTAATAATAATAATTTCAGTAATTAAACAAATTTTTCGACAAGTAAGTAACCAAAATAAAGTAGTCGTTAAGTCCTACGGATACCCGTTAATTAAGACTTGTCATTCAAACTTAGCGTTTTAATTTTACCGATATTTGTCGGCAACTCTAAAAATTTTCTTTCGATTGGATTTATACTAACGTAAAGCATCACTGGTGTTTCACATTGTTGCTGCGGTACACTTCAAAGTCGAAAATGTTTCCGCAAAGGTAAACGCTTTTTTTCAATTTGTTAAATTTTGTATTCTCTTTTCGTTTTGAATGTAAACGTAACGGGTCCGCCAATTTTTTTTTAAATCGTGTGTAGCTTTGTTGCATGTAATAACGCCCTGTTGAAATTAAATGCTGCTAGTATCTTCCTCTTTAATTTTTGTTAACAAACATTCGACGACGTAACGGTTCTCCTTTTTCAAACAAATGGTGACTCGTTTTGGGTGCATCGGGGCTTTTCAATGTATACGTTAGGTTTTTTAGTTTTTCTCCGTAAGAAATTTTCACACATATTCTGCAACATTATTGTTTTGAAAATAAAGTCCTAAATAACGGTCTGAAATGTCAAATCAATTTCCCCATATTTATTTCACAGGCGATAAGGCATTTTCTTCCAACGCCGTCATTTTGTATTTTGAGAGCGCTTCAGACTTTAGACGCGTGTATTTGTGTTTACGTTTTCGGAAAGTCATAAAGTAAATTTGTAATTCATTCGGCAAAGCAAATGTGAAATAAAATAAATGAAAACAAGTTTTTGATTTGAGAAAATCTGCTAATAAATGTTTAACGAATTGCATTTTTATAATAAGCTTGTGGTTATTGGTACTTTTACGTTAAAATTTTAATTCTAACCTAAAATCAAGGAAATTTGTGGACCACTTGCATAGTTTGGCATTTAAAAACGCACACCATCCACCCACCAACACAAGGAGGGGTTGAAGAGCAGAGCGACGAACAAGAAGAAGGTCGCCTATTTTTGTGAGAGTAGTTAATTTGGCCTAGAAAATACGAAAGAGCATAGCAAAACAAACACGTAAATATAGAGTCGAATGAATTAAGTCAGTCTCGCTCTGATACCGGCAAAAGGTAACTTGTGCATAAAAGATATATCAAGCTATCAAAGCATCAATCAATTGCTCTGCTATTGTTTACCAATATTGGCATAGTATATATGTATGTGTAGTACATACATCTTGATATATGAGCATATTGTATGTAGATTGTGGAGGCAACAAAGTTATATTTTATACCTGACTTAGTTGAACGTCATACGTTAAAGAGAACGTACACGCACCCGCCTTTTTACGAAACGGCTCGACATGCCAGTGGAACTACAATCGCCCACCAGTGAGATGGTGTTATTGACGCCAAATCAAGAAACCGCTCCCCCAATTGGATCGTCATCGAAAACACAAGGAAATGGTGTTGAAGACCATGACAAAAGAGGCGAATCAGTGGAAAGTAATGACAGCAGAGTTCAAATGAAAAAGCGGCTGGGTCTTTTGGAGGGAGTGGCCATTATATTGGGCATCATTTTTGGTTCTGGTATATTTATATCCCCCAAAGGTGTCATACAGCAGGTGGAAACCGTTGGTACCTCCTTAATTATATGGATTTTGTGTGGTCTGCTATCGATGATTGGCGCCCTTTGCTATGCTGAGTTGGGTACATCAATTCCCCAATCTGGCGGTGATTATGCATACATTTTGGAAGCCTATGGTTCATTACCCGCATTTCTTTATCTTTGGGATGCAATGATGATATTTGTGTAAGTTATTTTCCATTTAATATTTTCTTTATTTGCATATTGTATGTGCATATGTATAAAAGTCAATTGTTACAATGGCATTACATTTTATCTCAGACATGGTATGCCTTGCTTATTTATTTAAAGTGACCTCTGTTAAACAAGCCTCAATTCCAGTCTACGCAATTGGTTTGCTGCATTTCTATTTAATTGCAATTGGCGTTATGACTACTCCTCTCTAGTTTTCATTTATCGTTACTTTACAATTGATCGTCGACAATTGAATTTCTTTTTTGAGATAGTTTTAATTGGCAATTGTTTTAAGTAAGCTACATTTGTATTCCAAAAGTTAATAGACTATATGCTGTTTTTTATCATTGTAATTTGAATTACCACTATCCCCTGTAGTAAACTTTTCAAAACCATTTAAATACAATGAATAAAATCCATGTTAGGTTTTAAGGCTTTATTCATATTTAAGGATCTTCAATTTGTTGTTGTAAATTGGCAAATAATACGTTCATTGTATATAGGCTTTACGCTCTCGAAAAGGTTTATGCTTTTGTCATATGAAGTAGTATTATCAGTACTTAAAATTTTCCAGAAATAGAGATAGGTGATAGTGACGGTATAAACATTTTAAATTAATCAATGCCACTTTTGTTCTTTAATTTTTGCATGGTGCATACATTGTACTTTTGGTTTTTGTAGTAACTGGTTTTTTCCTTCAGTGACGAAAGCTTTTGTTTTTACTTACGCTTTTAAGTCAGAAAATTGATAATAAACATGTGATTTTGACCATAAAGTTGGCATTTGGTACAGAATTCTATCAAGGTTGCATGCCCCTTAGCCTTTCCCACAGCGACAATGGGACTGCGGCAATCTCAATGTAATCTTATTTTACCGCCTTATATCTGGGGCTTTATTTAGTCGATCACTACCATAAACTTGATATCGATTAGAGGTTATGTATGTTTTCAAAAACTATTTTTTTCGTTATAATTTTTAAAAGCCATGTACAACTTGGTTTACATTCTTTGACAAATTATAGTCATTAAAACGTTGTAGGCATTATCGACCAACAACATTCTTTTGATGTGTGTAGTTGAACTTTTAATATTTTGAATATCGGTCTGTTGCGATATTTGCATTCATTTAAGGTTCATTCACGTTAACGTACGTCAGTCAGAGCTTTGTATAGAGGTATTTCAATTTCCGTAAGGGAAAAAAATGATATTTTGATGTTTTTGCAGGTTTTTAAACATTTAACGTGCAATGCCAATATTTTCTTTCTGCTAGACTTGCGTGAATTGAATTGCTTTCTGTATATGAAAAGAAATATCACCAAGATTAATACATTATGCCTAAACGGGACTCGATCTATCCCACTCTTATGCAAAATATCACATTTCAAATCGTAAATATTGTGACATTAAGGGTGACGATTTCTAAGTTGAACGCTCATCAAGATTATTTTTATACCCTCCACCGTATAGCCCCCATATGACGGTATCTCCCGATATTCGGTATTTTGATGATTTTAGCGACATTATTCACCGTAATTGTAACAAATTATTTGAAGTTCGTACTGGGCACTACAGCCTATGACAAAAATTTTCGTATGCAGGTCCACGTCTTCGTATAGTCCCCATATATTTTTTATGTTTAAATAAGTTCCTTCGAATTGGTGGAGGGTATTAAAAGTTCGGCCCGACCGTACTTAGCTGCTTTTTTACTTGTTACTTATTAGGTTTCAAACAAGTGTTTGAGGCGTTACAAAATAAAATAATAATTGGAGCATATATCTTGCAATGTGTCATAATCTCTATGGATAGATAAAAAATCGATAGTTTTAGCAAAGTTTAAGATGCATACAAATTATTAATGATATACAATTATTTATTAAATGTCTTTCTATTTGCAGTCCAACAACAAATGCAATTATGGGTCTCACCTTTGCCTCTTACGTTCTTCAACCATTCTTCGATGCTGATTGTGAGATTCCCACAGCCGCTAAACAATTGTTAGCAGCAGCAACAATTTGTTTCCTAACCTATTTGAATTCATGCTACATGAAGGTTACAACAAAAATGCAAAATATCATTATGTTTACAAAAATTGCGGCTCTGGTTTTGATCATTGTTATCGGTTTGGCTTGGATGTTTATGGGTGAGTACTAGTTATTATCAACCTAAATACAGTTATAAAATAATTATTTTATGCTTCATTTAGGTCACGTGGAAAATTTTACTGATGCCTTCGCTAATACTGAAACCGATCCAGGCAAATTATCTGTGGCATTCTATTCGGGTATTTTCTCATATGCTGGTTGGAATTATTTGAATTTTATGACTGAAGAGTTGCGTGATCCTTACAAGAATTTACCACGTGCCATTTATATATCCTTGCCTCTGGTGACAATAATTTATGTCTTGGCTAACATGGCATATTTGGCTGTACTCAGTGCATCTGAAATGATAGCTTCCGATGCTATTGCTGTGGTATGTTATATAATTTAAAGGATGCTCTACAAGTTCTGTTGATTTAAAATCGTTACCTCGTTTCAGACTTTTGGAGACAAGATCTTAGGTGGTTGGTCAATTATAATTCCTTTGATGGTGGCAATTTCAGCTTTTGGAGGCCTTTCGGTTCACATAATGACTTCATCTCGCATGTGTTTTGTTGGGGCTCGCAACGGTCATATGCCCGCAGTTTTGTCTCACATAAGTGTTAAAAAGTTTACTCCTGTGCCATCGTTAGTATTTCTGGTAAGTTTATTAACATTTCTATTCTACGTGTAAACATATATTCCGTCGCGAATGATATATATCAATGAACTTATCATGATATCTTTTGTAATCCAATTTATTTTCAGTGTATATTATCAATTATTATGTTGCTGTGTAGTGATGTATATGTGCTAATCACATACTGTAGTATTGTTGAATCTTTCTTTATTATGTTGTCAGTGTCGGCGGTCTTATACTTCCGTTATACTAGGCCTAATCAGGAGAGACCAATTAAGGTGTGTATTTTCTTTTTGTTTGCTGTTTTCTTTTTGTTTGTTTAATTGTCTTATTTATTTCTATAGGTTGCGTTATGGATCCCAATAGTGTTCGTATTGATTTGTGCATTTTTGGTAGTAGTACCAATATATGTCGCACCTTACGAAGTTGGAATGGGTGTTTTAATAACAGTTGTCGGTATACCATTCTACTATGTTGGTGTTGTTTGGAAATCTAAGCCACAGTGGCTACTCAATATGACTGGTAAGAAATATAAAAAATTAACACTTAATAGAAAACGGCGTGGACAAAGAGTTGAAATACTTGTTTTTCTACAGAATGCCGAATTTATTTAAAAAATAACACAAACAGAATGTATTTTTCATTATGCTCTACGCGCAAATTAAGTGCCCTTGATGATATGCTTCTTGCATATGCTCTATATATGATTCTCATTTAAATTATTTACCTGTATATTTAAATTCAACGACCTAGCTTGTCCTTCTCATCTAAAAAGATACTATTGTTGACATTGCTTTTCTTAATCTAATTTATATGTAATTTACCTTTTTCAGAATCTTTAACACATATGTGCCAAAAACTTTTCGAATCAGCCAAGGAAGAAAAAGAAGACTAAATCTCACAAGGACCTTCAAATTATTATAAAAAACTAACATCCTGTTTTTATCCTTAAAACAGGTCTTCGACTCAAATGTATGGTCGGATAACAATAGGGTAAAAAGGTTGCTATATTTATAAACTTTGACCCAAAAAATATTTTGAAAAACAAATTTCAAAAAATATTTGTTTATGTTTTGTTATCCTTTCTTGCCATAAACATGCATCACAAATCTTTGACTGAACTAAATTAACTAAACTATGTATGTAATTTTTTATATGAAAACAAATTATGCCCAGTGTAATATTTTTTGTTTGTTTTTGTAGATTTTCTAGTTATATAGGTAGTAAACAAATTGTAATTGAAGACAAATACGTATGTAATTTGTATGTATTTACAGATGCTTGTCGTTTAATTAAATATTTATTCAGGTTTCTAAATAACCCTTCAATGAAAACTCATTAAGCACAAAACAATTTGTTTTATAAACACTCATTATTTTTTAATTTATTTTGCTATCAGAATAACATTTGTGTAATATCTCGTCCTTTTTAAATTATTTATTATGACAAGGAACCAAAGTTTATATGATAAATGACAATGTTGCGCAGCTTAGAGTGCTCGCAGTGTGCTTTTTAATAGAATTTGTTTTAAGTCTGGTGTTTTCATTTTGTAATTTTTTTAATACATACATCATTTTTTATACATGTTTTATTTATTTTTTCATTCGAAAATCTACAATAAAGAATACAATTGCAAAATACTCTTGTTTATTGTAATAAAAACAAAGGGAACGGATTTTAGTAGTCGTTGAGATAAGCGACCGATTTGGCGAACTCCAAGGTATGCACAAATACATTCTCCAAAATATTTGATTGTCACTTGTGGTATGGCATGCAATGATGTTGTGGTACCCTGCTGTGGACGGAATTCATGTGGATGGTAGGAAAATAAAGTGAAAGAGTAAGGAACCAAGAGTCTTCTCTATTGGCGACAAATACCACATCGGCGTGCATGACTCGTCTTTGCTGGCATCCATTCCGATGTGGGTGACTAACGACTATTTGACTTTGTAGGCTGTAATTTTCCTGCACCGATGCGATCAAAATATTCCTCCAATTCATTAATTCCACTATTGTGAATTATTTTAATGTGATGATTGTGAAGACAGTATTTTCAGTATAATGATAAAAATTATTGTGATAATTGTCAGTTGAAGAAAATCATTTACGGACTCATGCGGGTTGCCAGCTCTTGAAATATGCTTTTACATGGAAACATTTTTGGAACATTAAGCTTTATTCTTATTTATGTTGATGATATCATTGTGGCATGCGCTACATCGATATAAATGCACTGTATTCACAATATCTTGTCAGTGAAATTTGAGGTTGTTATTTTGAAAAAAAAATCAACATTATATCGGAATTTAAATATCAAAGATCGTAAGGGAAATTTTCAACTTTGTCAGTCACCGCATATAGGAAAAGTTGTAAACGAATATGATATGCCAGCTAAGCGAGCAGGAGAGTTCCCCAAAGTTGAGTGATATCTCCGGAACGGCATCAGATCGTGACGTATGTGGAAGATTGCTTGGTTCATCATGCTGTCGGGTATCATTGTTGATAATATACATTTAAAGCTGAACACCTATCTGGCGGTGCTTGCCTCGCCTTGTCCCACGCGAGGAATTTGAAAGTCAACGATCTCAATGTATAAGGGCTAGTAGATTTTAATAACGTCTATAAATTGGTCACATTCGGTAGCATTTTTAAGTAATTCGCGAAAGCAACAGCTATCTTCTTCTATATCTATAAAAGAGGAAAATGTCTGTACGTTTGATTGTTTTTTTTTTTTGTAGCTTATGGGCTGAAAAGCTACTGAACAGATTTTCCTGAAATTTTCCACATATGCTACAAAATCGCCTGAAAGGCTACATAAATTTCATTTTTCATTCATTCATTTTCAATTTCAGCATCAAAAATATTGTAGTTTTGGTATGCACATATCTATTGACCGGTTATAGTTATAGTCTTAAAATTTGGAATGTATAACATAATTCGGTACAAAAATAAATTTTGGCAAATTATATTGAAATCGGTTCAGATTGGGACATAGCTCCCACATACATTTTCGGCCGATTTCGTGTATTTGATTGGTATGTATCCGAAATTTTAATGAAATATAGAATGTGCGACGGAATTTAGTACAAAAATGAATTTGCCAAATCATAATGAATTTATTCAAGATTTGAATATGGCTCTCATATATATTTTTTTTAGAATTGATGTATTCAATGCACCAAACACGCTGTTATGTCAGATTGCAATAAAATTTGGAATTAGTAACAGAATTTAATCTGAGAATTAATTTTCTACATTATATTGAAATCGATTCTACATTATATTGAAATCGATTTATTCACATTTAAATACTGGAGTGCTCTAACGTTAGCCACTTGTCGTTTTCCAATCACACTATCATGCTTGAATTCCGTCACGAATAACTTTTTTCTGGAAAATTCTCACCAAAACATTTTTGTACGCTTGTAAACAATATAATGAGCTGTCACTGGAATAATATTAACAACTGTCAGACGAGTGATTAGAAATGACAGCAGTCTGAAGATGGTTGTAGTTTTTTCATATCACCCTGTTTAACGTGTTCGGACCATAAAATACATAAAATCGACCGAAAATATATATGGGAGCTATGTCCAAACATCAACCGATTTCAATATAATTTGTCACTTATTCCAAATTTCATTGGAATAGGTTATAGATAGCGTGTTTGGTGCATCAAATGTATTAAATACGTCGAAAAAATCTGTTTAACGGTTTTTGAGTCCATAAATTACAAACAAATAATCAAATGCACAAACATATTTATACCCTACAATACTATGTGTTGCTAGATTGGTCCACAAATTATGTAACACCTCCAAATATTGTTCCCCGACATAGGAAACCTTATATGTATCTTCCTATCTCGCCTAGCTGAGGCGATCTAGCTATGTATGTCCGTTGGCCCGTCTGTCCATGTTAATTTGTAATCGCTCTACTGGTCGCAATAATGGACCTATCTTCAGGAAATAGAAAAAGGAGGTGGGTTTAGGTTCAGAATAGGAGCTTATTGTTTTTGGAGATGATTACAAAATATTTATTATATAATTTAATGGGCCAAAAACTGATTTTGCAGTTGCTCTAGAGGCCACAATTATATACCAATAGACGCGAAATTTAGCATGGAGTTAAAGATTAGAGCAGGCCTTAATGTATACACATTTCACATTTGCTTAGAGAAATTTCATCCAGATTTATTCTCCCTTTGACACTTTCCCCAAATAATTAATTATAAAAGATTTTGACTTGACTCTTTGATGTGAAGTAGATCATACCAACTATATATAACATTGGTGTATAGTAAATGATATGACTTTGATAAGGATTATATAACAAAAATTATTGTAGCAATATATATACTGGACCTGGTTACACCAAATAGTTAAATTTGGTTGAATATGAATAAATTTATTCAATTTGGGCTGATGTAACATACATGGTGTACAATAACCTAAATTCGGATGAAGATGTATATCGAAGCTATATAAAAATCTGAACCGATCTCTATAATTTTTTGCAGAGGTATTTTCGAGCAGTATCTGATGTCTCGTATAATATACCATTGATGTGGTGTGCATATTAGGCATGTGAGGGACTTAAAGTCCCAAATCGTATAAAACATTTATATGAGAGCTATAAATATATCTGAACCTATTTTTATCAAATTTTTAGTACTTGTTTCTAGGATAAATTCAGTCGGAATTGCCAAAATTCAGTCCATGTAGACTAATATTAGCCATTTGGTGCACAATTGCCCAGAAATCGTATAAAGATATATGGGAGCTATATCCAAATCTGAACTAGTCTTGACAAAATTTTAACCACTTATTTCAGAGCTATATCTGATATCTAGTACCAAATATCATTGTTGTGGAGTGCATATTACGCTTGGGAGGGATTTAAACACTAAATCTGATAAACATAAATATGGGAGCTATAGCTATGTCTGAACTGAACTCGGATGTGCCAGAATTCAGGTAATTTGGACTAATATTGGCCCTTTGGTGCACAATTAACCCGAAATCGGTTGAAGATATATATGGAAGCTATATCTAAATTTGAACCGATTTTTAACAACTTCGATAGGGTTCGTTCTTGGGCCAAACAAATATTGTTTGGAAAATTTTATCTCAATCGGATAATAAATGCGACCTGCATTTTGTTCACAAAAATACATGAACAGACGTACTGTCCGTCTATGTAGATCCTCAAAAGTAACTACGGGTCTATCTCGCTTCCTTCTCCATGTTACAAACAAATGCACAAAGACATAATAATATGAGGTGTAGGGTATATAAAGCAAACACATTGCTTGTAATAATGTAATGTAGTACATACATTTTTATACCCTCCACCAAAGTATGGAGGGCATATTAAGTTTGTCATTCCGTTTGTAACACCTCGAAATATACACTTTAGACCCCATAAAGTATATATATTCTTGATCAGCATAAAATTCTATGTCGATTTATCAATGTCCGTCCGTCTATCCGTCAGTGGAAATCACTCTAGCTTCCGAACGAAATGAAGTAGGTTGATAAATTTTTACTCAAATGTGTATTATGTCTGCAGGACTTTTGGTATTGAAAACGGGCCATGCAGGTCCATTTTTGGTATAGCCCCCATATAACGGTACCCCCCGATATTCGGTATTCTGATGATTTTAGCGACATTATTTACCGGAATTGTTTCAAATTTGGTATTTACACATACATAAAAGCATAAAACAGAAAATAGGCCATGTAGGTCCACTTCTTCGTATAGAATATAGAATATATATAGAAAATTTTTTTGGATTTTCATTAATGCAATACTATGGAATTATCCTTTCTTCGGTGACTAATAGTGAAATTTAATGAGGAATATTTTTGTCTTTGACGACATCCTTTCAAAATGATATTTGAATTTTTGCATAAACTTTCATAAAGTACTCGTTTTTCTATATATAGAATTCCATCTATAGTAGAATTTTATGACGAACGATTTTGTAGAATATTTTGACATGTTACGATCCTGTTTCAAGGGAGTTTTTAACCATATTTTCACAAAAAAAAAAAATCCGAAAATTTCAAAATATGCGGAAGAGGGAAACTTGCCTCCTCTAATGCTGATACACGTGTCTTCTATTTTTAGGTCCACTTTCATAGCCTGCTGTTATTATATTCCCTGTTGCACAGCGTTATTGAATGAGTGTTTAGTTGCAAACATAATAAAAGTTCGTTTTCAACTTTCATTATTTATCTGCATTGACATTTGTTGATGGATCCAAAGTAAAAATAGCAACCCTGTTGTGGTTTTCATTTAAATGGATTTCATGTATTTCTAGCTTCTTTCGCTAGGAAAGAATGTTTCCGAATATTAAGCGCTCATTAGAGTTGGTTTCATAATTCAAAAATTTGGCCACTTGCTTATTCTTAAGGTGTTTCCTTCGCTTTGATTTGGTTTGGCTGCAAGCAACATTCTAAATGACTACTGTATGTATCTATGTGTATACATACATATGTACGTTCAGACATGAATAGTTACATTTATTAGCTTAAATTTTATGGTTTGTCAATTGCGCCAGCCGAATTTTAAGTAGCTTAGGTGTCATTATACATTTGTAGATATGTACATAAGATTATCGGATTCTTTTTGGA